TAAACATTTGGGTGGCGTCGCTAAATGGGACATTTGGGTGGCGTCGCTAAATGGAACATTTAGGTGGCGTCGCTAAATGGAACATTTTGGTGGTGTCGCTAAACATGTGGGTGGCGTCGCTAAACATTCGGGTGGCGTCGCTAAACATTTGGGTGGCGTCGCTAAAAGGAACATTTGGGTGGAGTCGCTAAATGGAACATTTGGGTGGCGTCACTAAATGGGACATTTGGGTGGCGTCGCTAAACATTTTGGTGGCGTCGTTATATGGAACATTTGGGTGACGTTGATACATGGAACGTTTAGTGGAGTCACTACATGCACAAAGGACATAACAGAGTTGACGAGAATCCTTCCATCCTTATTGTTGATAAAGATAAAAATCATGATTTAGAACTTAAGCCAGAAAATAAATCAGAATTTTTTAATTTATTTTTTTAACATCAATGTTATAAAAGTTTCAAATCAAGATAACTTGAAAATATTTTTTAGCTTAAAGCTACATTTCTATTTTATTTTCATCAAGCCTAAGTTATATCCTGGAGTTTTATTTTCGTAAGACACACAATTAAAAAAGAATAATAACTCATAGTAATGTGTACTCAAAACTTTGCCTATTTGTTAAATGTAAACAATCCAATTGTTTTTGGCTTTTTCTTTTTTGTCCAGTTACCACAAAATGGTAAAAACATCAAGTGCATCCAACCTTTAAGTAAGTCCAACAACTATTAAGTCCAACAAAAAACTTCAACAGTCTGATAGCGGGGGGGGGGGGGGGGGTGCGGACCGAACCGGGTGACACCATTTAGGGGGGGGGGTGACACCAAGGCAAAAAAATAGCAAAATATATAGTGAAAAACTTGAGGGGGGGGTGCAAATCGAAAGTTTGAGGCGGGTGCAAATCGAAAACTTGAAAGTTTGTCCCCGGGAAGGGTCGCTACGCCTCTGGGGGATGACACAATTAAGTGCCGCACCGGGTGACACCCGACCTCGCTACGCCACTGTCTATTAATGCACTTTTTTGTGCGCATTTTTCCGTTGCGCATCTTACCAGTCACCGCAGTGAATAAAGCTGAGACCTGTACGTCATAGTTAAATTGTATGCCATGACGTGTTTGTGCTTTAGATAGTTAACAAAAGTCCTGATATATAGCGCATAACATGAAAAAACGGCATCATATAGCACTTTCATCTGAAGCATGTCTTAACTAACAAAACACATTTTATGATAATCTTAAATTAACTGGTTGTATGCGGAAATTAATAATTTTTAACACAGCATTTTTTAATGGAGCTTTTAATCTTTTGATTATTTTTTAAAGTTTCGACGTTAAATGCATTTTAAATCATCATTGATTGCACTTGTATCAGATTGTCGGTGTCCAGTGGCGTAGCGACCCTTCCCGGCGCCCGGGGACAAACTTTCAATTTGGCACCCCCTCGGGATCAACCTTTCAATTTTCGATTTGCTTTGCACCCCCCCCCCCCCTCGAACCCCCCTCATATATTTTTTTTATATTTATAAAGCAAAAATTTGTTTTTCCAACCCATTTTGGCGCCCCCTAATGTCGGCGCCCGGGGACATATGTACCCCCTGCCCCCCCCCCCTTCGCTACGCCTCTGTCGGTGTCCACATTCCTAGAAAGAGTGAGACATTTAAAAAAAGAACTTGCAATCAGTTTCTGGCTAATTTTGAATATGTTTATGTTTTAAAAGTTTCACTTAAATTATTCTGGTTTGGAGGTTTTAAAATGCGAAGGTGATTCTAAATTATTAAGTCCGATTATGTAAAGATGGTTAGAACGGTGTGTTTTGTGGTATTTTTAATAAATTGTGTTATCAGATACAAAAAGATTTTTTTTTTTTTTTAAATACAAGTTTTTGATTTTACAAACAATCATTTTCGTCAAAATAATCATTTGAAAAGCAATGTTTGTGACTTGATAAGTTGAAAGCGGTTTAAGTCAATGTTGGGGAAAAAATGTAGATCTAGTAAACAATAAATCAAGCCAGACACTAAAAATAAAATAAAATGTGCGCATTTGCCATTCTGCATTGTGTATTGTTATTTATAACGAGCCGACCCGCGGCATATCATACGCCGCTATTTAATTGTTTTTTTTTCTACTTTTCAGTAATACATAATTTGTGAATTCGACAGTACCAATGCTGCCACTGAAAATATTTGCTAACCCCCCCCCCCCCGTGAAAGCAGCCTCCTCTTAAATACCTCAAGTTTAAAATCGTTTCAAACTAAATTATCTGCCCCTAATAGCCGTCACTAAACCCGACTCTACGAATGTAAACATAGCGTGAACCACAGCTCACCAGACCATGTTGGGGTGGGGTGGTAGGGAGCGCGTTTACAGCTTGTTTTCTAGCGTCTCCTAGAAGAGAATTATATATATAGATAGATAAATAAGACCAACATTTTTTGGTCCAAGACATTAACATCTAAATAAATAAGACCAACATTTTTTGGTCCAAGACATTAACATCTAAATAAATAAGACCAACATTTTTTGGTCCAAGACATAAACAGTAAACTAGCATTTAGCACAGCAAAGGGATGTAACTCTGTATACAGGAGAAAGTTTCCCCATCGTGTAACCATTGTCTTAGTGAAATGGCTTGTTGCATATCTGCATTAATATCTAGACAAATTGTATATAAGGCATGGGCCTTATTTCTCGTCTAGAAGACTGCTAAGTAAAGTACAAATTAGACATTTTAAAAATCAGGAATAGTAACCATCTTCATGTAATTTACCATTTCAAAAAAAAAACATTTTTTACTAAGAAGCTGATAGCGTTATTTCACACATGGAATGTTAGGGGCTGTCAATATATTATTTCGTCACTCAAATAGTTATGTCAGTGACGTGCGGCGTAAACTGAGGGGGGGGGGGGGGGGGAGGATCAAGAAATATGGCGAAGAATGATTATCAATCAAAGGAGTTGTATGTGTGTTTAGGGGGGGGGGGGTGTTGCTGGGTTGGCATTAAAACACTAGTGTTTTACCTAGCCCAATAAATAGGACATAATTTAAATTAATTCCACCACATTGAGCGAGCTGTTTTTATCTGGTCGACTCTGAGATAGCATATCTAGACCAAAATATGAGCACAAATTTTAAAATACGAATACGCATATTCAATGTCAAGCGAGCATAAATATTTGTTCCGCTTATCTACATACATGTTCTCTCCTGTACTTTCTCATCGCCAGGGCCGAGCAGTGACCGGGGGAGGCAACAGACTGCGTCAATTGCTCGACCCCCCCCCCCCCCCCCCCCCCATTTGAATGGACTCAACGGGAATTAAAACAAAAGTTAAGTAAGAATAAATAAAGTACAGCCCATTATTTGATTTTTTTTGTTCTCTACGCAACTTCAGAGTACTTTTTAGCGCAATTTCCATACTGGCAATTGCGATTATTAACTCGTATATGTGTCCGCGCTTTACGTCATATCTCCTCCTCAACGAAGCAATATCGAGGACTAGTTTCAAAAGCAAATATGTTAAGCAAGTTTGATTGTGGGCCATTAAAATTCCCGGAATTCCTTCCTGGATTTCCCGGAAAAGCCAAAAAACCTCGAAAAAAAAAGCAGTTTTTTGCCCATATCCCGGCAACCAGACCACTTTGCGACTTGAAACATTTACCAATCGATTCCTGCCATAATTTAGAACAATATTGCCGAAGAAAGTTTTCAAAAATATCATTTTGTTCGGTCACAAAAAATCAATTAAGGAAATTGCGCTTAAATTGTCACTAGACTTTTTATTAACTTCTTTCTTTTTAAGTTTTTGTTAATATGATTTATTGAATTTGATGTCTTTAAAATCTTTTCCTTTTAAAAAATTAATTTTCAAATTCTTTTTAAATATTTTTTTTTAATTTAAAAAAAAAAAAGCCTAAACCAGGGACACCAGCTAAATTAGTCTAATAACATGCGGCTATTTTTTTAATGTCATCATTGAAGAGTTATTTTGTTAACCACGCACTATTTAAACAAAACATTTATTTCAGTCACATGAAATCAGGAAGTTTAACATGTTCATTGCAGAGGAAAGCAGGCCTCATTTAATTTACTATATGATTATTTTGTTCTTATCAGTTAGTCGAATTGAAATATTTTTTTTTACAGTTGACAGCTGTTAGTGTTAAAGGAGTGGAAATTTAGAATCATAAAACTTCTAAGCCTTAACAATAAAGACAGTTGAACAGTTTAGAAAATGCGAAACATTGTTTTACGTTATTAACTTATTGCTTCACTACATATTAGAATACAGTATGTATAAATAGGCGTACTAGTATATACTATTTTTTTTTTTTTTACTTTTAGAGGCAAGAAGGATGACTCATACCTTGAATTTCGTTAGGTCTAGTTCTCTGAAAATTACTGGAAGTGTCTCAAAACTATCAGGTTCTCTTTAAATTCAATGATTAAATGGTCATGAACCATTTTATTGCAGTGAACTGGTTTTGGCATAAGGCAACTTGTATTTTTTAAACTATGGGGTACAGCCAAACATGTTTGGTAAGTAGTTTATAACTACCAGCTAAAGAAGAGAAAACGGAGATGGATTGGCCACACACTATGGGAGTCTGTATCCAGCATAACAAGGCAGACCCTCACCTGGAATCCACAAGGCAAAAGGAAACAAGGCGGACTAAAAAAGACCTAGAGACGAGATCTGGAAGAAGACACCAAGAAGATAGGTAGCCCTTGTCAGCTGCCTACGTCCCAGGACACCCATAGGCTAACCTAAGCTAACAACTTTCAAAGACGGGTCCAGTGACCAAGATTCAGTAGGAATGGCATTTCAACCTTGATGTGTGTGTCAATCATTGGCATGTTGTTAAGTTTTTGAAGAAATACATTGCTGGCAAGAATAAAATTTTCATTACCAGATGAATTGCAATGCATGACTTATAATCTCCACCCTCATACTTGTATGCACAATTTTCTGACTATCTTGCTACACAATAAGAACATGTTACTATTGTTACATCAATAAGGTCTTTATTAGGTGTTAAAAAGAAAAAAATGACACATTTTTTGTCTCTTTGTGATTACTTATCAGACATGTACATAAAAATTACTTAAAAATCAATATGGATTACAACTATGTCACTGATTTTAAAAAATTATGCCATATGAAAATGAAATTTTGTGAAATTGTTTTAAAATTTCATTTTTAATGTCACCAAGCTGCCACAGTATGTTGTATCGAGTAAACAAAGATGTAAAACAGTTTGCAAGACTATCAATGGATAACAAATTATTGAAGAAAAGAATTGAAAATTGTCAATATGTAATACTTTTAAAATTTTAGAATTTACATATGTTGATAATACGGTTATACAAACATGCACTTTAAAGTAAGGCTTTGTCTAACCAACACTCCACTATGCATTATCTGTTCAGGGGAGAGATTAACAAAAAAACAAAGCTACCTCTATTAATACTATTATTTAATCAATCCATATACCATTAATAAAATTAACCAAGAAATGCATGTCCATATCTTGTAAAAAAAAAAATACATTTCAAATACTTAAGTTTCTCTCCTACATGCTAATTATTCAATGAAATTCATTATTTATTTTAACTTGTCCCCTTCATCCAACCACACCCTTACCAAACCAAGGAACCTGCACTTTTCTGGGGGAAAAACATATCTTATTGGGTAACCTTTGATCTACATATCACTAATCATGAAGTTAAATGAAGCCCTTAAAAAAATGTTTTAAAAAAAACAACACTATACTATTCAGTTACAAGGACCGGCCTTGGCAAGTTAGCTGGCCTTTTAAGATTGGATGAGTAGTCTAAAAAAAATTGCTAGCAGAAAATTACTAAATTAGTCTACTGATAAAAACATTTGAACAATTAGGTTTCTTATCTCTATATAACAGTGTGTGCTGATCAACTCATTTTTTTTAAATTAATAGATGAATTTTCTTTTTCCTGGCATAGTATTTGAAACTTTTGAATATTTCTATATCAACCTAAGACATACCTCACAAGACTAAGGAAATTGTGAGGATTGTTAAAACTAATTTCAGGTATGATATAGCAATGTACATTAGAACTAAATGTGTTTAAACCACCAAATACAACTACATATATTAATGGACAGTGGTTAGCTTTATAAAAACCTAAAATGATATAATTATGAGCACATAAAATGTAATGAATGAATAAAATCAAATAATAAAATGTCAGATATGTCAAATATGTACAGCATCAATCTGGCTAGAAAACAAGAATCCATCAGGCAAGTCTAGCTCAGGTACAGAGGTACCAGCATTAACATTGATTTAAAATGACAACTCAGCATTGGTTTAAAAATAATGTTCTATACAAATTATCTTAGCATACTGATATCAGCTTCAAAATGTGCCTTCACATTTAAGGTTAACAATTAATTGAATCCAAAGAATTTTCTTGCTTTAGATTGTAGATCTTGAAAAGGAGACTCTCAAATGAAGGTTGTCCCCAACTTGGTAATTATGTAGACCCTGAAATTTGAACATACCTCTCGAGAATAAAACTAAATAATTGTACTGCTATCACTAAACTGCCAATAGATCAGTTTCATATTCTAAAACACTTATTTTAACAGATTTTTTATTTTTTATTTCTTTTAGCTTTAACATTTGGTTTGCATAGCACATATTTTTCCATCAACATTTGTTAAGTCATGTACTCACAATGAGAGATAGTGTGGCTTCCTCCACTGTAGACATTTCAATTAAAGCCATCTTACGGTCATTGCTAAGATTTGGAATGGAGAGAGATTTTTTAATTAAAATCAGTAACAAGTCCAAAATGATTTTCAACTTTTTAAAGATAGAAAAACAAAAATTAATGAAAGTTCAAACTTACTTGAAAAATTTGAAAGCCTTAACTGACCCATACTGTGAAAATAGGCTACGAATGTCACTTTCCTCAAGGGTTGCCCTAAATGTTTTAGAACAAGATGTATTGAAAAAAAAACAACTTCCAAGCTTTGGTCTATTATCAAAATGAATTATTTCAACAATTTTAATTTTTTTTAGCTTATTCAAAAATACTTACACATTATACAAATGTAAAACAGCAGTTGGCGGGAAAATATAATTTTTGGATCCCATTCGTTTAAATCTGTGGTGTGGAGAATTCACAAAATCTTTTGTCAAACCAGCATCCTAAATGAAGGTTTTACACAAAAAAATGTAAGTAGAAAATGTACACAGCATTAAAATAAAGAAAAAAAAAACAAAGTAAAAAAAACTGTACACGGTCCTTAACCATTAATGTCCCGTAACGCCCGCTGCCGCCCGACACCGTTAATGTCCCGTAACGCCCGCTGCCGCCCGCTTACAATACGCATAGAAAAATTAAATTTGTTTCATTAAAATTTGGCCTACAAATCCTAATTTTTAACTAAACAGGAAGTCGGATAGTTTCAGCATCCTTTTCCGGTCTTCTAGTTTCAATGGCGCTTTTGAAAGATAAAAAATAATAGTTTCTTTCCATCTCGAAATTTTAGACTCATCTGTCCTATTTTTAGTAGATTTAATATTAAAAATAAAATAATGCCTCTAAACGTATCTAGGCATGTATTTTATGAATTATATATCTTAAACATAACCAAATTGATATTTAACTGTTAAATTCGATGCATAGTTGTTTAGACAAAAATAAATAAAGTTGACTACCGAAAATGACCTGTTTTGAATTTTCTCCGACATTTTTTATTTTTATACTGTACTTGTACCGAATATAATATATTCTATTTAGTACTGTTGGAAAGCCAGGTTTATTCCCAACATTAAGCAGTACTTTTTATCTTAATTTTCAATTTCATTTAGACAAAAACAAATATTTTGTGAAACTATTCACTTGATCATACAGAGTTATGCTCCTTACATTGGGCCGTCATGGGTGGAGTTTTGGTAGAATGAATGGGACATTAATGGTTAAAAATATAACCTTTTTATTTTAAATTATGTTAATGTACTGGGGTTTATTTTAAAGTATGAAAGCATGATAATTTTAAAATAACTTCAGCCTTAATCACTATTTCTATGTTCTTATTTGTCTTTACAATATTACAGGAACTAAATTGTACAACGATTGAAAATAAAAATCTGACAGTAGCTAATTATAATTAACTGAGTTCATCATCTCAGAACTTACAGACTGTCCATCTTTTGGCATTTGAATCAACTGGTGCTTTGACGGAGCTACTCTCAGCTGTTTTCCCCATACTCTGGCTTTGTCTAAGTATGTTACAGCTTAAAAGTAGAATAAATAAGACATTATATATCTAGCAAATTCAGACAAAAAGCAAAAATTCAAACACACTAATTAAATGGCCATAGACATTAATTCAGTTCATAACACATTTTTCTTTTTCTTCTTCCTGTATACAAGCACACAAATGTTAAAAATAATGTGTGTATCCATATGGAGAGAGACCCCTTTCTTAACCAGAAAAAACAACTGATTCTAAATGAAATTTAAGTACCTTGTTGGGCCTGAGATGGGTCCGCCATTTGTACCAAAGCATTGTCTTTCTTATTGAACAAAATCTTCACACGGTGCACGTTACCATAAACACCTGTATTAGAAATATTTAAACTGCATTTAGATAAGTATTTCTACTAAAACAAATATTTTTATAATCATGTTAACAGAGACTGAAAATACTACAGCAAGCAAATATTCTTTTTTTTTTACTTCTTTACAAGTCTAAATGTATATGTAAGTGGAAAATGAAAATATTACACTTACCTCTCATTTATCAATAACCTCTTATTTTTTTAAACTATCCATTTAATGCAAATAAATGTTTAATAACAAAGTTCTAATTTTTTCAAATGAATGATACTGCAAACAAACATTGCACAACACTTATATTTAAGCTGGTAGTTCTTTTTGAACACTAGCTAAAGTTAAGTGCATTTTTGGAACTCAGTAAACAAATGTATGCGTTGCACAGATTCAAGAAAAATTGTGGATTAAGTTCTGCTTTTTAAAAAAAGATGTGTATGTAAATAAATTTGCTAAACTGATAAAGTTTACTTTTTTAACAAAGAATCTTTTTAGTAAAAAAAAAATTACATTTGAACCTTTTGTTCAACTAAACAATATCCAGATAGATAATTAAGAATATTAATGTACAAAATTAGCCACATGTTTTTAAAATAGCATTAGCGTATCAATTTAACAATTATTTAACAGTTGTGTTTGAAACAAGCTAATTTTTTCATTGCCTAAATTACCTAATCAAGCTTAAGAAAATGTTTATGTATAAGAAAATAGGATGCCTAAACATATTTTGTTATTGCTAAATGCAAAACTGTCAAATATTTATGCTATATTTTCTTTAAGCTGTTTAGAACAAGTCTATTTTAGAACTGATAATTTGTTTATTGCTATTTTAAAATAAATTTATTCATGTAAATTTCCACGATTTATCAATTACTGTACATACTTGATTACATGCATAATTGTTAAAATCTGATTAAATCAGATATTTATTATAATGAAAATTCCTAAAATTCAGAGAAAACTTTTCAAATTTAACATAAAAAAAGATCTCTCCTCCAGCCTTATTATTTTAAAGGGATCCATTTCTAGAGCTACCACTAACACTTTAAAGAACCTATTATGAGAGATGGATTATAATGGTTTATAGATTTAAGGCTTTTACAGCCAAAATGGAGAAGTGTATTCATAAGAACAAGTATATACACAGTAATAATATTATATGGAAGATGAATATCTGGCCAACAGTATCAGTGTAACCTTTTAAACCAAAAGTGCACATACCCAGCATATCTATTCACAATTTTTTCTAGCATAGTAATATTAAAATGTCATTTACATTTCTAAAAAGTTATGATAGCCTTTGTTGATATTACAGAGGCAGCAAAAATGAAATCACAAGTAAAATTAAGACCAAACAATTTAAAATAATTTAGTTGTTTAAAAAAAGACAAGACTAAATTTCTTTTGGAATCAATGGTTAAGGAAAAAAGTACATAATTGTATTTAATTAACCTATTACCTAACAAGAAAAGAAGCAAGAAAACTCTAAACAGCATAAGACTGCTTTAATGGTACATAGGTAAAAATAATTGTGTAAAACAGAAGGTAAAGGCTTGACGTACCAAAAAGTATAAAGAGTGCATCTGGCGTTACTTTCTAAAAAGGTTTTGACGTAACAGATGTATTTTTTTACAAATAAAGGCAAGGCAGCATGGGACAAAGTAATTTGACGAGGTAGGGTAGGAGTCAGTTCAGTCGAGTAGGCAGCAACAGCAGCAGCATGTGGTCAGGCGTGTAGATCAGTTCAGACAAAAGGTAGTCCAGCAAAACATCAGGATGAGATTTTGATCAGGCATGATTTTTTTTGTAGATTTTGTGGCAAGGGGTTTGGGGGAGGGTGAGATGACAATAGAGAAAAAAGAAAGAAAAAAAATAAATGAATAATTCAAATGGACTACACAAGAGTGATAGATTACTAATTATGAAAAAGAGCAATTAAGTAAGTTGTTTAAGAAAAAGGTAAATTATGATAATGCATCTATGGAAAAAAAATAACTTTAGAAGTTCCAAACACACTCATACACACTGACAAAAACCACATAGAAAGCAAACATTTAACAAAAAAGGTTTCAGCATTGATTTGTCGCTTTAAAAGTTATACCTTAGTTACTGTAAGTCTAAAATATTTATTAAGATTTCAATTTAATTTATTATCACAAACATGCTAAACATGCAGAATTTTTTATCATGTTCCAAAAGGTCTAATGGTTTATTATTAAGACAAGATGTTTTTTTTAACTGACTTTGCTACATGCAATCTCACCATGCTTTCAATATTACTGCTTCCACAAAAATGTTAACACCATAAAAAATATATATATAAAAAACCACTGACATTTTAAAAGATAATACATCTTTACACAACAGCAAGTAAATATCTTGAAATTAGTTTTAAGCAAGACGACTACAAAATAGAATAATCAAAATCTCAAATTATCTTCTTTTAAAATGACAGAAAACTAAGTTAAATTCAAAAAAATTCTTGCTGTTGGTTATTTTAGAATTTAATGTCATAGTAGTGAATGGCACATATTTAAGAAGAATAAAACATACCTCCTCATCTAAATTAGATACTAGTACACAAGGGCTTCCACTTCCTTGATTCATTCCTTGCATATTGCCCATTCTGTTCCCCATTTGATTTCCTCCAAAATTGAAGCCTCCTGCTCCACCCATTCCTCCCATATTAAGAGAATTACCACCTGAGCATTATGATACTTATAGATAATTATTTATAAAAATATTTAGTTACATACAACATGGCAAATAATGTTTTTCTTTTCAAGACATGAGAATCACATTTGTTACTGAATGAAACAAAAATATACAGCATTATTTTCAGTCAGGTTTCAAGCTTTACAATAAAAATATTTTATTGGATGATTAAATGTGGAATTAAATACAAAAGAAAGAACTTTCACATGATTAGTGCTAATGAAATTTAAAAATACTGTTAAGTGAAATTATTTTTTTTAAATTAAAAAATAATAATTTTGAGCTTACCTGCACCAAGTACTCCAGCTCCCATTCCACCTAAATCTGATTGAAAATTTTAGTGAAAAGAATACATTGTTAAAAATAATTTATTCTCAATTTCTACTTTGCTAGGCTGGAAAAAAATTAAAGGTTTATATAATACACAGTAGAAATGAGCAAATGTTCAAGTTCATCGTTAATGTTAGCTAGTGATTATTTTATTGAATGTGTAATATTTACAATTGCAAATAAAGAAAGTTTATTTTGATATTTCATCCTTATAAATGAAAATATCAGAATAGTAAAAAATAAATGTGTTTGCCTTTAAAGCTTCACAAATCTTGGAAGGTGACTTTTGTACACATTATGTAGAACTATAAAAAATTACATTAAGTAAACAAGGATACGGAAATGAATGTCAAAGGGAAATAATCACTTTTTCTCTGATCAGTTTTCATTTTTATTTATTGATTTTAAAAATATGTACATATTTTCTTATTTATTCCTGATTAGATAAACAGACTTCTACCAAAGAGGAATGGCAGAACAACACAATTTTTTGTAATTTAGCTGAACAATTCCACCACTGCTAAATATTGCATTGTACTGTATTCAAACTTAAAGTTTTAATGACAATTAGAACCAGTATCAGCTAAGAATATAAAAAGTGACCAGAAAATGAATCTTCACTATTCAGAAGCATATGCGTGCAGGTATTATACCATCCAAGCATGCACAAATGGCTGAACAAGTTAAAACTTAAAACTAAGGAGCATTAATATATAAAAACCAAGAAGAACCTTTGAGCCAGAAACAAAGTTATCATAACAAAAAGACTATGCTGACATCAATTTCAATTTTTAAGGGAAGGCATGTGTAATTGTTAAAGACATAATCATTACTAGCATGTAGGCAGCTTGAATGTGATATGTGGTATTTAATATATTTAATTTATGTAGTAATGATATTTACCTCCACCTCCCATAGGCATACCATTATCCATTCCATCGCCAGTAGGTAAATCAGGGCGTGTAAAATCTCGACTTTTATCATTATTGTACTTAACATTCAGATTTGTAAGCCTGGAGTAGTCAATTTTCAAAGTGTTGCAGCCATTGTAAATATTTTGATTGTCAAGAGACTGAAATGTAAACAAATAAAGCATGAGTATTAAAGGCCTTTGATGATTGAATATTTAAGTAGTAAAAACAAATGGATTATGAGCAAGATACATATCGTATAATTAGAGCACTCTACCTGATATGTTCTGAAGGTTAATTACTCCTATAAAATTCCCTACCCATTAGTTCATAGTATACTGAGTGTTCTTTAAAGTTCTATTTAGTTTCTTTCTTTATCAATATGTAAAATGTTGCATTGCTTTGGGTGGGGTTTAGCCTCTATTACTATTACTTAGAATCACTTAGCCAGAAGAGTTGTCTTGCATTATAGAAAATCCACCTACTTGACCTAGCTTCATATTTAATACTGAGAAATAGGTGTGCACCTTTGTTGGGTCTTACAAACATGTGACTAAAAAAGGGATGCAATACATTCATTTAAGACTATTTACAAGTATTTAAATATCAAAATAAAGTTTTTACTGACATCTTTAGCAGTAGCAGCAGATATGGGATCAGAAAACTGTATCAAAGCTTGAAATGTATCTGCAGATAAAATTCAAACAGTAATACAAATGTATAAAACTAAAAAAGTCTAGTTCATGTAAAAAAAAGAAATGTCAGGTTTTCTATTAATAAATGCTTGTAAATTATACTTACTGTTTTTTGTGAATGTAATGATTTTCAAAATTTTACCAAATCTGGAGAACAGCTAGAGAGACAAAAACATTCAGATAAAAAGTGTAAACTAACCATAAACATTTAATGGTAACAAAATGAAAAAAAATATGCTATCAATTATGATTCCTACTGACAAAAGATTAGGTGACTTATGAATGTAACCTTTTAAATGAAAGATTTTTCTAAAGGACATTAACATTAAAATTGTTTTAAGCACCATCGCTATTCTATTGAGTCTACACTTAAAATTAACTGAATATTCAGAAAAAAACATTTCAAATCTAGTAATAAAAACATAAAACAAATTCAATATATAACACAAATTAATCTAAACAAAAAATATGGCTTTATAACAAAAAACGGTGAAGCTTATAGCTATAAAAAAACAAACCTGATGCAAAACTTCCAAAGTAACAGGGTATAAAACATTATCAACAATCACACGAAGAATTGTCGTGTGATCACCAGATACATTTGCACCACCAGCACCAAGCAAACCTTGGGCAGCCTGCAGGGCAGCTTGGGCACTTGTATTCTTAACACAAAAGAAAATTAATAAAAAGATTTAATTTAATTATAACTCAAGTGAAATGTAAGTTTTACAACTAATAATAATAAGCAGACTTCATATTTCTATTACACATACCTGCACATTTGAAGCATCCGTTTTAAGTTCCTTGTGATTTGAAAACTGAACATAGCATGATTTTAAACGTACTTGAGCAGGGTTTGTTTTAAAATATGAAACCATGTTGACTGCACTTGTTTCTTCTTGAAACTCTAGAAAAGCCTGATAATGAAATGGAATATTTGCAGTTAAAGATTTTGTATAAAAAAATAATTGAGCCTCATTTTATAATATAAAAATTGGTTTATTTCTAAACTAAAATGAACAACTTAAGAGGTGAAATAAAAAAAATTCTGTATCAATACCTGATTTTTTTGTTTGAGCACAAGAACATTAGTCATTTTGCCAAAAGGCATTCCCAACTGAACCACATCTGTTTCAGCTGCATCATTTGGAAGGCTACGAATATGTACTACACGTGAAGGAGGGTTGCCGCCATTGTCAAATTTAGCCTAAAATTAAAACAAATCATATTCACTCAAAAACAACATTTAAAATTCTAATAATGTTAATTTGAAGACATAAAATAAGTAGCCTCTATGAATTAATGTGACGTTATTATTCTAATAATTGCTGATATTAACTTACTATTTTTATTAAAACATCGCCCTATAATAACCAAATGTGTGGTAGTCTAATAAAAAAAGTAACCTCTACATGACTTGTTCATTAATTCATTACAAAATCCAAACATATGTACAAATGTTTATAATTATTATAGTTATTTTTTGTATCTTAATTACAAAAGATACTTTTTAAAAATATTTAACCCTATGGCACTAATATATGCAACTATTTAAAATAAGCATGTCAATATTTACATAAATTTGAAAATAGATTTATTACCTTTTTAGCATCATTTGCATCACCCATACCTTCATTTACTTGCATCATGTCATCCTGACTACGCTAGAAAGAAAATTCAAAACAAAATCTACATTTCAATGGAACAAAAAAATGCTGATGGGAAACAAAAAATTCATCGAAAGCTGAGAATACATATTCTAAACATTCTCAATTTTTAAAGAAGTTTGTACTCATTCAGAAACTGATTATGAGGGGGAAAGGGGGGGGGGGGGGGGGGGGCACAGCATGGAATTAATGGGCATATCATATTCAAACTTACCTTCATTCCACTGGATGTATAAAACTCACTGAAAGAAACATGAAAAGATTTATGAATACATTTTTTTAAACATGTATACACATAAAACAGAGTGCAACAAATGTTGCAAATTGGGAAGTAGACAATAGTTGTATAATGCAAAGGCCTTATTAATAGATTAACCTACTAGTATAATTAATGCAAGGATTAATCCCGTTCAATTTTTTTTCCATCTGTCTATAAGAATACACCAATAGTAAATTGATGTAAAAGAAATAAACTGCAAAAACATTTTCCCCGGCATATTGTGCAAGGTTAGGATGCTTTTTTTTACCTTTAACCCTAACAATGGTTAGGCCTAATCTAACTTCAGGATCTAGTTTTTCTAATAAAAGTCTAAACTTTAGGCCCTAATTAAATTTATTAACAACTTTAGTACATATCACTGATGACCCAGTGATGACTCAAGGGACGCAACTATAATAATCATAACACAAGGGATGTAAGAATCACTAACAAATTATAACGTAACATTTGCTTAGACATGCTTGTATGTAGAGACACAAACTAGATCTAGAAGACGTAGATTATCGAAATAATTTAAAACAACAGAAAAATTTAGAAACTATATAGATTCTAGACTAAGCTTGAAATATAGAGCATCTAGATCTAGGTTAGTCTAGCTCAAGGGTAAACTACCCTAAACTAATCGTTACCCAAGCTGCGGCCACCCCAATTTCACCTCCCAGGTTTCTTTAATAGTCTTAACTTAAGTTTTTACATTTACAGAGTCCCGCACATAACGTAGAAGCTATTTATAGTTAACCTAGCTATAAAAAGCTTTGATTAGTTGGCTTTATTCATCTCATCCAGGACCTAGTGCTTTTCATAGGGGAACTAGAATCACCTATGACATCATACCTCGAAACTTAAAAAATTTAAAAACCCATCTTCCAGTGACCTGGATATATTTAGAAATGGACATGTGTATAGCAGATATCGGTAGCTTCGTATAGGCCTAAATCATCCAAACAAATATTAGGCCCATGGCCTATACGAAGTGATAAACAGGCGATGCCGCATCATGGTTCTGCATTGTTTACACGTATGATACAATTTTTATGCTAGCTAGCCTATTCTTCTTCTTCTTCGTTCTTAATTATTAGTGTTGAAGGGGATCGAGATTTATCTGCCAGTGGGTTTAACTCGAGACTTTTTTGAATTTATCAACCATGAGCTTTTTGCCGACTCGACCACGCCTCCAACACATTAAGCGTTACGTGTCAAATGGTTATGCACCATTGAGGCCATTGACTCCGATTTCAGCCTGCTTTTCTTTTTGGATTTGCTTCCATAGACTTTGTCCAACCCAGAACAAACTACAAGGCAGCAGTTGTTTGATTTTGAACAGCCTACTATTCAACTATTCTGGGTAGACTTTCGATTTTTTTTTTGCTGTTTTCGCAGATAGAGATCAGATAGATCTAGATCTAGTAAGTTACTCTAACTCTAGATTATGTTTAAATAAAAGCAGGTTATGAATGTGTAGGCCTAACTATAGTCATTATAGACCAAACTTAAACTGGGTCCAAATAGCGAGTCCTAGACTCTAGACCTTGTCTGGGTAATCTATCGTTTTAGCGTAATCAATTCGGCTGCAGTAGTAATGTGCGGGAGAGGTAACTGATGAATATATTTGTTTAAATAAGTATAGTTAAGTCAAATTTCACAATATATAACAGATAATTGATTTAAAATAACAATCAGTGAACAAAACAATTTAAAATATCATGAAACTAACTTTAAACAAGGTGTTTGAGATAAATATTAGCAGATAAAAACAGCGGCCATCTTTCCAAATAAAAGTTAGAGTAGTTTCCCTTGATACACATGTCTATTCGTATGTATATTGTGTTGATTTTGTTGTTTACTAAACATAGCTGTCTGGTTTAATAAAAGTAGGACAGAGGGCCGTCTTCTTATCTTTAATTTCAATTAAAATTAAGGCTATGTATGTATGTACATCCAAGATCTCAACGACTTTTGGGAGGTCCAACATTTATTAAACCCTTTTGTACTGATTAACTTGTCAATTATTAGGTCGTCCATATTCCTCATAAATGACGTTGGACTCAAAATATGGGACGGGGTGAAATTTTTTTTTTTTTTAAATGATGAAGAATATATTCGTTTTCGTTAGAAATTGTGATTAAGGGTTGGGGTATAGTACAATTGCGATATGATATTAAATCATCATCTTGCTTTTAGTGACGATTGGGGGAAAGGGAATTCATCGGGAAAAGTATGACGTCATTTATGGGTGATCCATTTAAGCCTAGTTGTTTATTTTGTCTGTAGACATTAGTCTTAGGCCTACACCTTTTCCGAATTAAGAATATTGTGTTTATGAAAATAGGTTTCAATTTTAATAAGTTACATTTGAATACCACATGTTTTTTTTTCTTTGCCTTCTGCTTTCATTAGTTTTTTATTTGTTCAGTAGTCGATGTTTACCCCTCCCCACCATATATCATTTAAAAAAAACACCCACTGTATAGTGATATCTCCCTCTAGAAAAAAACTAGATCAACCTATAGTTCGTAGGAAATTAGAATCTATCACCTATTCGTCTGTTAAAAAAAAAGAAATACGTCATTTTTTCTCAACCCCGCCGATTCATCCCCCACTAAGCACAACATCATAGTTCGCGGCGCGCATGACGTCATTTGTCATTAGGCTAATGTTAAAGAAAGAGATACCACGTAATTAAAAAAAAATCAAAACACGCACTATGGTGTTGAGACTTTAGCGACGTTTAGCCTGACGAATAGATCTAAATGACTTTAGTTCGGTAAATTATATTGGTGTTTAATTTATTACAGTGGCATGCTGTTCTCCCTCTACTATACAAATTCACGTGCTTTTAATTTCTGAAACCTGCTGCCCTGAGACGTTCGGCTCTAAAAATGCCCGTGACACAACGGCTTCCGTAAATGCATTTAGGCTCCCGGTCCCACCTAGGCCTATAAACTTCGTCTGCCGATTAAGCTCCACGCTAAACTTGTGATTAATATGTGGACATAAGCGGCGCTAGTGGTGGTGACAACAGGGACACCCCCCCCCCCCCCAAGCTCAGCTCTTAAAGGTGCTCCGCACTTCATGAAAGACAAAATTGATGTTCAGATATCGTCGGACTCTGGCGTTTTGCCGACGGCCGTATTCCTAATACACCGTCTTAGATGCTGTCCACTGCTAGTACTATATTAAACTCAAGCCTATACTGAGCTCTGGCTTTACATTAGCTGCTGTTGCATTAAGAGTTGATCTTTTGTTATGCCCCATGTCGCGAAACTTACTGTTTTGTCCAATTTTACCTGCAAGCCAATAATTGTCTTGGACTCTTGTCGAATATCGTTGCCAGGAGCAACTTGGTTTGAGCCTTATTGTCAGAAGTTATTTAATTTGGAGTCAACATAGTGCGGCCTATTTTCGTCGGTAGGCATTTAGTGGCAGGTCTTTTTGGCGGGGATGGTGTGCTGAAGTTGTTTAAGTTTAACACCTCTAAGGAAAACAGGCTTGCAATAGTTATGATCATTCGTTGTGAGCAAAGGTATGCATGAAAACGAACGCTATATGTTCCTCATTTTCATTGAGCACAGCTTTATAAAAGTCTTCCATAATTGACGTCACTCACCCCCCCCCCCCCGATCACCCCTTCATTATAGGTCAAACCCATATCACTCATTTTGGGTATTTGGTATTCAAAATGTATATTGTAGGTTAGGACTTGACATCTACCATAAATGACATCGCACACTTAAGGGGTGGAGTAACTGGTTTTGAGACGACGTTTTACGTGGGAAGTGAGAGGGGTAAGAAACGTGAAACGTTATGTATTTAGCCTAATACAAAAATGCTGAAAAAAATTATTGTTCGTTAGAATTATGGCTTGACTTTTTAACAGGCAGGGCAAAAAGGTAATTTTTGACATTACGACTATATTTCGTGACGGCGTAAATGGGGGGGGGTGTTAAGGTGAAGAGAGGTCAAAAAACGTGACGTCATTTATGATCAAATCACTAATCAAAGGGAAAAAAACATGAAAATATGAAATAAAAAGCAAACAAACAATAACAGTTAACTCAAACTAATAGTTAATTAAACATTAGATTAATTTAGATCTAGTATTAGTAGCTAAACAAAAATCGGGACTTCATTAATTCCTTAATTTTGCATCTCATAATAATAATTCTAGAACTGATGTAAATTGTTTAAAGAACAGAAATTAAAAAAAAAAAAGCATACTCTGTATTTAAAAATAAGACAATCGTATTCACTGGCAAACAGCAATACATTTCCATACAAATAGAAATTAAGGGGAAATGACTCAAAATAATACTTTCTTAAGATAGCAAATTTAGTACCTGGAACATCGTTGTTAAACCTTAATTTCATGACATTTTAATTGATTTAACCCTTAAATGTGGTTTAATATTCAATTATCTTTAGTATTTTAATACAATATGCAAAAATATATTCATATTTAAGCCATATTCATTAGTTACCTTATCCCTACATTACTAGCACCGGCCGAATTGATTACGCTAAAACGATAGATTACCCCTTGTCTGTCTGTAAAGGCGTGCAAAGGTAATCTCTCAGATCTGTATTGGACCCGGCCACTTCAAAATCAAAATGTGTCTTGATTTCTAGACTAGATTTGACTAGATTAGATCTAGATCTAGATCTAGTTAGTATTTTAGATTTATGTGCGCTAAAAGATTAAAGGAATTTTAAACTCAAGTTAGCAACTCTCTTACCCGTCCATTTACAAACAAAATCACTCACAGTGAGACGATTTATTTCCTTTATCAAAATGGCTGACAAACGGCGTCGGGAACTGACGTTAGGGCCTACAAAACTTCTACGCAACTGGCTAGCCAGATACATAATTAATTTTCCCACTTACAAGGCCAAATACCGTATTTGCAAATAATTGCAAAGAATATTATTATGTCCTTGATAAAAGAAACCGATTTTGTACCAAATTCAAATACATTTTCCGATTTAAGATACAAATAATATCAACGAGGTTTCTTTCAGACATCTATTGATAAGGGGATTATGAATTGAGTGTTATGGTTTGCCCCTGTAGCATGTCATAACTAAAACCATGACGCAAGTTTACAGAAAATAAATTGATACGAGCCGCTATTTAGTTGTTTTATTTTCTACTTTTCAGTAATTCATAATTTGTGAATTCGACGGTACCAATGCTGCCACTGAAAACATTTGCTTTAAAACACTATCAGTAGGTCGATAACCCCCCCCCCCCTCCCCTCCCCCAACACACACACACCCTCATTTCTCCCAACCCTCCTTTCCCCCAACCCCTACCCTACATTCCCCCCCCCCCCCCATGAAAGGGCGAACGGAAAAAAAGTCACAGGAAAAAAAACACAGAAAAAAAGTCACAGTTTTTGCTAGGAAATAAACCGGGAGTGATCTCCCCTAAACTTTCTCGAATATTCTTATATAAAATAACAGGGGATGGAAACTCGGGCTATAGACATGATTTTTAATCCATTTTAAATACTTAAAGTTTTAAAAATAGAATAAAATCTCGTAGACAAATTAATTGCACACCAAGTGAACGCAAATAAAAAAAAGCGCATAATAGTGCGCAATATTATTAGTACTTTTAAAATTTACATTAGTTTTTTGAGAAATCGGAAGTAGCGTAAATTACTACTTACAGTCAACGGAAATTACTCAAAATTTAACAGAAGGTAGAGAATTAGATCTTTTACTTACATGTGAAATTTCATTTATCTATCTGAAATAGTACTCAAGTTATAGGCTTTTAAAAAATTCAAAGTAGGAAAAGTACCACTTCCGGTTATCGGAAATCGCTCAAAAGTTGATACGGATCTACGATTTTGATAAAATACTTATATATGAAATTTCATCAACCTAGCTGTAACGGTACTCAAGTTATCGTGTTTACACACAGACACACACACGGACAGACACACACACACACAGACATACGGACAAGATTGCAAAATTATGTTTTTCCGTATCAGTGAGGTGTAAAACGTCGAGATTTGTAAAAATCTCGATTTTTTTTTTTGCACGATTACAATACTTTCTCTATACTACGTATATACGAGAAAGTAAAAAAGTCACAGAAAAAGTCACAATGGAAAAATTTTATCGGAAAAAAAGTCACAGAAATAAAATCACAGAACAAAAGTCACAAAATCTTTTTTGAAAATATTTAGAATTATTTTGATCTATTTGTTAAAATGTTGTATGTTTATTGTTGTGGGTTGTATTTTTTGATAGCATAAATTATTTATAGACGTTAAAAGCAGTATGGTTTATAACAAATTGTAAGTAAAAATACTCTAAGATAATTTACAGAACAATCTCAACTTTTGTTACGCATTTAGTTAAATACGCGGTAGAAAAGTTAATTATAAAAGAAATTTAGGTTCATCATTGTGTTTTGCATATGTTTTGCCGTAGGCTATTCTCTGGTCGGCCGCTCCTCAGTAGGCATGGTCCGAACACGTTTTGTGTCATTTACAGCCTTTGAACCTTGTCGGCTTTCTGTTTTGATCCTAAGTTTTGTTAAGTAATGAGCGTGACAAATGTGGGCAGTAAAGGTGGTTGAACTAAGCATAACTATTGTTGCGGTGAGTTGAGGGCAGCAAGTCAGATGAACTTACCATTTCACGGTAAATTAATATTAGTATTTAAAAAAAAAAAAAAAGATGAAAACCGTGGACTTTGGAGCTTTCTATAAAATGCTATTAATATTATGTTTAACATAATTACAATCTACATATTTCGTACTAAATATTTTTAGATGAATTATAAAAATTACTATGTGTATTCAAGCTACACACATTACATAACATTTAATTAATCCTATGTAGTTAGCACTTTCTGAATATTTAATATTTAAAAGTATTAACGAATTCCATGCAAATATATATTTGTGACTTTTTTCCTGTGACTTTTTTTGTTTTTTTTTCCTGTGTTTTTTTTCTGTGACTTTTTTTCCTACAATCCATGAAAGCAGTCTCCAATTAGTTACCTCCCCTAAGTTTAAAATCGTTTCAAACTAAATTATCTGCCCCTAATAGCCGTCACTAAACCCAGCTATCCGATTGTAAACATTTAGCGTGAACCACAGCTCACCAGACCATGTGGGGGTGGGGTGGTAGGTATATGCCTAGAGAGGAAGAGAGGGGGCTGCTTACAGCTTGGTGTTTTCTATGGTCTCCATGAAGATAATTATATATATATATAGATATAAGGAAAGCGCACTATGCACGAGGTTTCCCATTTTGGACATTGCTTTCACAATGTAATGGGGGTTGTTCACAAATGACGGCACGCTAAATTAGCCCATTGTCATCTCCCTCTTCATTGTTCAACGTCAGTATCATTTCTCAATGGCCACTGGCGCTTCAACAACTAGGTCTCTGGCTTCAGCCTGTGCGTGTTAAAATGTTAGGCCTCTTTCCTTCAACTTTCTTCATTGATCTTCTCTACATTTCTTTTAGCCGTTCTTGTTTTCTCTTGCCATCTGGTGTCCATCTGAAAGTAGTCGAAGCGTACCATCTAATTACAAGGCTCAGAGGCGTAGCGAGGGGAGGGGGGCGGGGGTAGCGGACCGCAGCGGGTGACACCATTTAGTGGGGTGATACCAAGGTAAAAAATAGCAAAATATATAGAGAAAAATGATAATTCCACTTAATTAAGTGATTAATTCGAGTGTTAAACAGTGTTTTAAGAGGTACACATCGAAAGTTTTAGGGGGGGGGGGTGCAAATCGAAAGTTTGAGGGGGGTGTGCAAATCGAAAGTTTGAGGGAGGGGGGTGCAAATCGAAAATTGAAAGTTTGTCCCCGGGAAGGGTCGCTACGCCTCTGGGGGGTGACACCATTAAGTGCCGCACCGGGTGACACCCGACCTCGCTACGCCACTGACAAGGCTCAAACATCTCCATCTTCTGTGTCTGATAAACTGTTGATATTTGAACGAGTATTTTTCTTTTTAACTATTTATTTGAGATAGTAATTGGCTAGAAGGTTGTCACTATTAACCATGCACTTGTTCCGAAAAACTTCTGGCTTCTATAGTTTAAACTCAGTCGCTTTATTGGTTTTCCAATATTCCGAACCATACAGGGGGACACTAAAGCACAAAATTTAAATATGCGTATAGTTTGGTTGTTACTAATTGGATTATCTCTCATTATCTCCACACAGTCTTCAGCATACCAAAGAATTAGCCAGCTTTCCCAATTCCACTTTTTATCTCTTTGAAGCAATCGCCATCATCAGTCTGATGCAGAGGCGCAACAAGGGGGGGTACATATGTTCCCGGGCGCCAAAATGGGTTGGAAAAATAATTTGAAAGGTTGAGGGGGTGCAAATTGAAAGTTTTGAGGGGGGGTGCAAATCGAAAAGTTTGTCCCCGGGCGCCGGGAAAGGTCGCTACGCCTCTGGAACAACCTTTCAATTTTCCATTTGCACCCCCCCCCGCTCAAACTTTCAATTTGCACCCCCCCTCTTCCTAAATATTAGTAAAGTTATCCTATAGATACTAGAGTGACCCAATCTTTTCTTTAGAGTTTTTAAATAGTAGTCTATAATTTATTTTCTACTTTTTAGTGCATTAGTACATAAAAGCTTGTTATTAAAACGTTTTTTATGAACTTTTTTACAAGCTTTTATTTAACTCACTTCCTCTGTCTGTCGTCAGTCCAGAGGCGTAGCGAGGAGGGGGGGGGCGGGGCGACGGGACATATGTTTTCGGGCGCCGACTTTAGGAAATGGGTTGAAAAAACAAATTGAAAGTTTGAGAGGGGGGGGGGGGTGCAAATCAAAAGTTCGAGGTGGGTGCAAATCGAAAGTTTGAGGGGGGTGCAAATCGAAAGTTTGTCCCCGGGCGCCGGGAAGGGTCGCTACGCCTCTGCGTGAGTCTGTCTAGATCGAAACGCTGGAGCGAAAATTCGAACACTTCTACTTGGCCAGTGTTTTTCTCCGGGGGGGGGGGCACTTGAAATTTTCGGGGGGGGGGGGGGGCGGTAGACTTTCTTCGGGGGGGGGGAGGCGGACACTGTTAAAAGTATATATTTTCTATATAAATTATATAAATTTCATTTCGTTCGGGGGGGGGGGGGGGCGGTAAAAAATTTTCGGGGGGGGGGGGCTTTGCCCCCCCGAAGAGATGCCTGGAAGAAACTCTGTACTTGGCAGATACGGTTCACAGTTGGCACGTAGGTCAAGACATGAAGACAATGCAATCTGAAATTAAATTTGACTTAATTGGATGCCTTGCCTATTAATTTTTTATGAATTAATTAAAATTTTGACCAAATTTTTTTTTAGTAATGCACTAAAAAGTAGAAAATAAATTTTGGACTACTATTTAAATAACTATAAAGAAAAGCGTGGGTCTCTTCCTAAACAATAGTAAAGGTATCCAATAGATACTAAAGTGAACCACGCTTTTCTTTATAGTTATTTAAATAGTAGTCCCCAGAACGGGGATCCAAAATTAAAAAATATTTACTTTTAGTATAATGTGACAGATATATTATTAAAGTTAGGGATCTGAACCATTACAAATTCTAATACATAACCGTATTGTCTTTTTTCTTTTAATACTAATAGTAATTATAAAAAGTATTTTTCGCCAAAAACAAATTTTCGGCGATTTATAAACTAGCTATTTTGTCAATTGCAAAATATAAATGACTATTCTAAATGAGTTGGATTAGCTAATTACACAATGTGTTTACTTTTTTAATTCATTTTTTAAATTTACAAGTTTAGTTGTCTCCCTTAGGTATCGTTTTTCTTTTTACCTACAGGTTATACAATAATGACAATATTATTAATTGACAATATGTACCTATTTGTAGCCCCGGAAAGAAGGTGTTTTTTTTAATATGGGAACCAATATTGATTTTATCGTAATGGGAGGCGTAGTGAGGGGGGGGGGGGGGGGGGGCGGGGGGGGGGGGGGGGTGACATATGTCCCCGGGCGCCGACCTAATGGGGGGGGCAGAGTTTCTTCCAGGCATCTCTTCGGGGGGGGGGGGGCCGAAATTTTTTTACCGCCCCCCGAACGGAATGAAATTTATATAATTTATATAGAAAATATATATTTTTAACAGTGTCCGCCCCCCTGAAGAAAGTTTACCGCCCCCCCCCCCCCGAAAATTTCAAGTGCCCCCCCCCCCGGAGAAAAAAAGTCTGGAAGAAACACTGGGTGGGGGGTGCCAAAATGGGTTTGAAAAACTAATTGAAAGTTTGAGGGGGGGGGGGGAGGGTGCAAATCTTAAATTTGAGGGGGGGGGAAGGAAATCTTAAGTTTGAGGGGGGGGGGGGGCAAACCGAAAGTTTGTCCCCGGGCGCCGGGAAGGGTCGCAACGCCTTTGATCGTAATTAGTGTGAGTGATTTTTCCTTTACCGAATATCAATACGTATCTATAGGTTTTTATGCAAATTAGAAATAAAAAAAGTTCTGATAAAATTCAGAAAGGAGCCCATTTTTGCACACAAAAAAATTAAACTTAGTTATAAGATTATTATTATGTATTTTCAATAAGTTGAATTTGTTAGTTAAACCATGTTTTTAAAAAAAAACAAGGTAATTAAAAAGTCTAGTGACAATTTTAGCGCAATTTCCTTATGTTATCTAAAAATAGCTCTGTCGTAGCGTAAATCAAGAGCAGGGTTAGTAAAACCATTGGTTAGTTATTAAAACGTTTTTTATTAATTTTTTTCAGTATTTTACATGTTTTATTTACAATAGAGTTACATGACTAAAAACCATTGCGCGCCTACTGAACGTGATGGCGCAGCCATGGAACGCGATGGCGCAGCTATTGAACGTGATGACGCGTGTGGTGTGGTTGGAAAAAATGCCTACTAATTCGGTCCAAATTTTAATTAATTCAAAATTTTTTTTGTGACTGAACGAAAGGATATTTTTGAAAACTTTCTTCGGAAATATTGTTCTAAATTATGGCAGGAATTGATTGGTACATGTTTCAAGTCGCTTAGTGGTCTGGTTGCCGAGATATGGGCCAAAAACTGCATTTTTTCGAGGTTTTTTGGCTTTTCCGGGTAATCCATGAAAGAAACCCGTAATTTTTATGGCCTATGTTCATCCTCGTAACTTGCTTAACATAATTGCTTTTGGAACTAGTCATCGATATTGCTTCGTTGAGGAGGAGATACGACTTAAAGCCCGGACACACATTCATCCATACATTCATCCATCCATCCATTCCCAGAAATGACGAGTTAATAAACGCAATTCTCCAGAATGGAAATTGCGCTAAAAACCATAGCAAATTTATAGGCGTTAATTTAAGATCTTTAAGATCTTTTTAAATGCAAAAAGTCGCTAGGTCGGGTGTCAGCCGGTGCGGCAACTAATCGTGTCACCCCCCCCCCCCCTCCAGCGAAAAAAAATCTATATACAAGCATATAAGTATATATATATATATATATATATATATATATATATATATATATATATATATATATATATATATATATATATGTATACACCCCCACCACAGATGAGGATTGACGTGTCAGTTATTACTATTCTCAAGAAAACATTTTTTTCAGGCTAAATTTTTCAACGTTTATAAGGTTTCACACCCCTTCTCCACTTGATGATAGGTTTAAACTGTGCACAGATAATACAAACGATGTTCATCTATAGTCGTTTATAAAAATAGCTGGATGTAGTATAGCTTTCTCCCCCCCCCCCCCCCTTGTCGGGATTTGTCAGTTTAGCACTGAATGAAAAGACTTTAACTCTAACTAACCCCCCCCCCACGACGCCTCTGCTCTGATCTACAGAAATCATCTGGCCCCAGAGGCGTAGCGAGGGGGGGGGGGGGGCACGGACATATGTCGTTGGAAAAATAAATTGAAATCTTGAGGGGGGGGGTGCAAATCGAAAGTTTGTCCCTGGGCGCCGGGAAGGGTCGCTACGCCTCCGTCTGGCCCTTAGCCGAGAGAGACCACCAGACAGCACCTACGTATAGTGGACACTGACTTTCACAAAATGACAGTTTTTTTGTCAGATTTTGTTTGGATTGGTCTCGACTCGGGTAAAATTTTAACCCATACTTCAAGTTGTAGTTCTACTTACTTAGGTCAGCGGCAACACTATAGTAGTATCATTTAAGTAGTGCCTCTTTCCAACTTTCTTGATGTGCAAGAACTAGTCAGTGCATCACGCTTGCAGACTGATGCCACTGAATAAGTGTACACCTTAGCCTACAGCAGGGGTCGGCAACCTTTTGAAGCAGAAGAGCCAAAAGTTACAATTTTCAAAACTTCCCTGGTTTTAAAGAGCCACTAACATTTTTTTTATTTCAAATATTTAATTTTTTTATTAAGATTATTAGTATTTATTCAAGGAGCTGGAGAGCCGCATCTTGATATCAAAAGAGCCGCATGCGGCTCGCGAGCCGCAGGTTGCCGACCCCTGGCCTACAGGCATTGTTTAAATTAAGCAGACATCTTTTCAAGATTATTTGTTACTAGGCATGCTGCCCAGCTTCGCTTAGGCTTTCGAAAACATTGAGAATTTGAATGCTTAATTAATTCGCCCGAGGGTCGGTCTACGACCTCAGGAGTTATGAAGAGGTTCCTCCGTGGACATTTTTTTTCGATTTATAGCTCATATAAGGCGCCGGTCAGTCGAGGTCAGTTTTGACCCCATCATCGTAGACTTTTCGGCCAACCGGCCCCCGTGTTCTGTCGCCCCAAGGCAAGATCCTGCCAAATTTGAAGCGCCTGCGGCGCCGGGAAGTGCCCTATCGGGCACCCGACAACTTTGCTTTATATATTATAGAGATTAGCAAATTGCATAGATAAACAAAGATTTCAATAAAGTAATTAAGGCCTGAAATACTTTAGTATAGAAATGTATTATTTGAATAGATGAATCTAGAATATCTAGATCTAGAATCCAAACAAATAAAATAAATTTTATGAGTTTAGGCCGGAAAAATTGTATTGTATACATTTCATAGTGTACGTAGATCTAAATCAAATTTGAATGAAATAGTTCATTTCTTTTCATTCTAAACACGGCAGATGACGTCATTAGTTAATGTATAAGCAATAGTGACGTCACAGTTTTATGCGTTCTTTTTCACATGTATTAATGCTTTTCCGGTTGCATAAATAATACTGTTTCTCTACATTCGAATACGCCTTTATTTTTTATTTTTCTTCTTTAAATAAAATTGTGGTTATACATTTAAAACATCTAACATATTATTTTCAACAAAAGTCCGCAAAAAGTTCTCGATATATCGCTGCCGATTCTGACGTGATGTCCGGCGAAAATTTTTTGCGGACAGACAGAGAGAGAGAGAGAGAGATGTGCGAACGTGGGGATTTATATATTAGGATACTTGTAGGAGTAGTATGGCATGAATATGCACTTACATTACTTACAGTAATTTGTGAACATCATTAATGGATATGTGCAGTTAATTTGAATTGGGGCAACATTGTTGGGGTGCATGTTTACTGCCCTGAATCACCAACAAAAAAATTATACTTAAAATAACTTGGTCATTGAGTACTGGGATTTTGTACTACCAAATTATTTAACTGATTACTGCAAAATTCACTGATGGAGCAGAAGTGTGTTGTGTGCATAATCCTTTTAAGTACATATTAAAGCAGTCAACTGTACAGTTTAAGAAGTGTGTAAATTGGTGGTCTTAGTTTAATCTTATTGAAAGTAATCACCAGTCAATCGAATGAATGGGAATGAAAAATTGAAAGCATCAAAAAAATGTAACACAAAAACATATTTTGTACCATAATGCAACTGTAATCTCATATTACTAAACTTAAAATATCTGCATTTTTTGAAGATTGTTAAGAATGTTTTAAAAATGAAGGTAACCTTTCAACACATTTAACATTTCTTAATTAAGGCTTTTAAGAAATGACAGTCTTGCTAATTCACCAGAAATATTTTGCAAAGTATTGATCATAACTTTTAAAGAAAGTTCATGGTAAACAGTGTATATATCTATATCTGATAGAAAAATGTCCAAAGTGTACAACAAGAATATTAAAAGTGAGAACATGGTGATTTTAAAAGGTTTTTGAAGTTTATTCTTGTTTTTAAAAAATAACTAACATCGTAGATCAGGTACATGTGTTGATAAATAGACCAAGATCATATCACAAACTGACCTCATATTTTTTGTATTTACAAACTATTGGAAAAAGGTATCTGGAAAACATTACATGATCGTTTCCTAAATAAAAAATAAAGTGTAAACAAATTTCAGCAATTTATAAAATTTTACAAAGGCATTTAAAGTGAAAACTGAAAAAAAAAAAAATTTAATTTAGTAGCATTGACAAAATCAAATTATTTTTTAGACTTAGTAGTAGAGAAGAGGATAAAACTGCTTTTATGTTTTATTTATTCTAGATTTTGACTGTAATTTCAAGGCCTTTCTAAGTCTCTCTAATTATCCCACACATCTCAGCTGACAGAATTTTTTTTGTCTTCCTCCTTTTGAATATCGCTGAGACCACGTGACATATTCCGAGAGCTTTTAGCATCCTTGGTAGCTGCATCAGGGCCGGCAGAGGCATTACAAGGCTTGGTATTAGATACAGGTGCAGGGGTTTCTTCCTTTGAGGTCCAGCGCCAGAAAGCAACTTTCATTCTATCTTTAAAAGCTTCAAAGGAGTCTAAAGCTGGCCTGACATCCAGTAGTGCAAATTCAAAGTCCTTGTTTACCTTACCTCCATCATAATAGTCAATGACATAGCGTACTTCTTTGCCATTGCGATCCACTATCCAGTCATGACGATCAAAGGGCAACTCATATCTGCAATGGAAGTTAGAATAATATACATGATTGTTATCTAAATTAAAAAGCAAGGTATATTTAGACCATAATGGAAATAGGCAACATAAAGAGAGAAGTTTACAAAAATAATAAGCAATTGGCTGCTGAACACATTTTATAGAACAAAACTTAATCATTATGTCTCAAGAAAGTTTATTATAAAAAGTGATTTTTCTCTCTACTTTTTAGTACTTATGGATTGTAAAAACACTATTCTGAACGTTCTTAACTATGTTGATGAATATTAGAAAACTAATAAGCAGATTGTGATATTTCTACTATAAAAATAGTATTGGCTATAAAAAAATTTTAAACAACTTTTGCGAAGTCGAGAATGATCACTACAACCTAGTTGTTTCCAATATTTATATATACTTAACTTATGACTAATTTAAAATGTAATTATTAGATTAGAATTATACTTTATTGCATTGTGTAACCACTGCATAATGATACTCACCCCATCCATGACCTAATCCTAGCCCTAGGTGAATACTTTGTAGCATTTCCAGCAAATCTCTTCAATTTTGGGTTCATGCATTCACTTAAAGGAAAAAAAAATATTGCTTTACATCTTTTTTACATTCTACAATGCAACACAAATGCTTAGATGATTTACAGCACATTAAAGACAATAGAAATAGCACTTAAATTTATACATTATATTATTTAATATCAATTGATCTCAAAATAAAAAAAGAACCATTACTCTGCATGAAGGGCTTCCCACTTGAGAACTTCTTGCCAGGCAAGTTCATTGTTAGCATTATGGATATTAATAATGTTATCCATATCTTTAGGAGAAAGATCATCTTCTTTCCACCGCCAGCCTATTTACAATTACAAACAGCAATATTAATATTGTCATAGAAAAATAACATTTCTTAATTATAAGATTCTTATGACACTTTAAATCAACACATAATAACATTTTTCCAATTTTAAAATTAATATGTAAATCAGTAAAAAAAAAAAAAGTTGTTTTGAGATGTAATATTTAAATAAACAGAAGTAACATAGATAAATGAGAATAATCAGATAAATAATAGTTTTTTAAAAGTTTTAACAAAATGGAAGACCTTTTCTGAGCATTGCATTCCAAAACATTTGTGGGGATGGATATACCCAATTTTCTTCAGTTCCAGCTTTAGGGATGGAAGATAATATTCTTTCTGTTGGTAAAGGGAATGGTTGATCTGGAGCAGGAAGCTGGTTTGGTGCAAGCATCTGAAAATATTTCCTTAAAATGTTACTAACTTTCAATAAGCATGATATTTTTAAACTTGATAAAACAATTACTTTCAACTCATGAAGTTAATTTTATGTTCATCTTAAACAAAATAGACATTAGCTAGTTATTTTTAGAACAGATTGCTTTTTAGTTTAGACTGTTAGTCAATGCTGACTAATTTATCAACATGGTAAATAGTGTTTAAAGAATTTTAGATAAGTTAATTAAAATTTAAAAAAAAATTCTAATTCTAGATTACTTTTAGTTTTTTTTCACACATTGCCACAGGTGAGTTATTACATGTGAGTCAAGTATTTTTTTTTAAGTTAACAGTTTCCCTGTATACAAGTAACATTAAGTTATAGGCATACCATATTATCTTTATTGAATTCTGGTGGCTTTGCTTCGTCTTGATCTTTTTTTGAGAATTGTTTGGAATTACTCATTGGACACTCAGAAGGCAGTGAACTATAATCAAAATCTTGCTTAAATACAGAGGAAGAGGACTCTGGCTTTTTCATAGGAGCAGATGGTTTCTCAAATGAAGGCATGCTTTTGTTCTTCTGTTCAACAGCTGTATCATTAAAGATAAATTGTGAATTTTTAGTTGTTGCACGTAATGGACAGTCACTGGGCACAGTGCCTGCCAAAGGTGTGACCTGCTCACGAGTAGACTGTACTTCAGCAGATGCTTTAACTGTACTACTTCTACCTTCTTCTTTGTTCAGAAAAGAGTCAACAGCAAGTAATGAATTGCTCTTATCTTTGTTGAAGTTTTCACTATCATCGACCATGCGAAGTTTGCCAGCAATACCTTTTCCATCTCCTATCTGGTGAGTAGGACATTTATTTGAAATACTAAGTGTATCACCTCCAGGCATTAGTTTAATTCCTTCATCAGTTACTCGTTTGGATACCTCACGATTAACTTCCAGATGCATTGGAGTTTCAAGATGAACAGCGGTTGGTTTATTACTTTTATCATCTTCAAAAAATGTTGTAGCTACATTTATAGATGTGTAGGCTCCCATTTCTGGTCCCTAAAAATAGAAATAGGCAATACAAATGTAATCAGTCATGATTTAATTGGTAACCAGTAATTTTGGGACTTAAAATACTGCGATTGGATTGTAGAGCTTATGACACTCAGCAAACCTCAAAAATGCCAAATTGGATCTTAGGGTTGAGACTTTTGGGTGTCTTGTCTCTGAATCCACCCAGCTCACATTAGAGAAACTAAGGCGGTCGTGCAGAGTGTTGGCTACACTATCCCGCTGTATGCTGAAGTCTACTTCATCTGCACTGTTTGTCTTGGGCACGAACAGAAAAAAGATGACAAGGCTGTGTCAGCTATTTTTGATACATTAATCACTGTCAGGCTTTTTCAAGGCCATTTTTAAATTTTAAGTGTTGTTTTTTAAATTAAAAAAATGAGAACCTGATTTAAAAGAAATTGCAGCTAGCATTGCTCCCTTATAATGAAATATTGATAAAAAACTGTATTGCTATGACATTTAAAAAAATTAAAACTGTGATTTCCGCTACTTAACTATGGGTATATTTCATAAGCCTAAAATTTAAAAGAAATCATTTTTGTAATTCCAAGTGATCCCTTACCAACTTTTCTAGTTTAAGTACTTGATTGCCTAGCTTAACTAAGTTAGTACACAATCCTGGACGTTAATAAAGGCAACCTACTCATTGCTTATTAAATTATTATGGAGCTAAAAAAAGCCTGTGTTAGCCCACCTGCAAAAACAAACCCGATAGTGTCACAACTTAATCAAGTGAGTTATGCACCCTTACTTTTCATGCCAATTGAAGTTTACTATGGTAGTGGCATCATACTTGCACAAATAATCTTCAAAACTAAAACCCAAACCTATTATTTTAAAAAATAGTATGCACTTACATATATTTGAATGTTTGAATAAAAAAAAACACCCTGGTGACCACTTAGGGGAACAAAGTAATGGAGTTTTTAAGCATTAAAAACTGAAAGAGGGGCTTAAGACTGAGAGCAAATGCTACTTATTAACTAGCGTAATATTAATTAATTTATTAGCCTATTTTAAAATTTAATATTAGGCTTAAATCAGCAGATTTAAAACTTAAATTAATAAATACGAGCCGACCCGCGGCGTATCATACGCCTCTATTTAGTTGATTTATTTTCCACTTTTCAGTAATTCATAATTTGTGAATTCGACAGTACCAATGCTGCCACTGAAAATATTTGCTTTAAAACACTAACCCCCCTCCTTTCCCCTAACCCCGACCCTACCCCCCCCCCCCCCCCCCCCCCGTTAAAGCAGCCTCCTTTTAGTTACCTCCAGTAAGTTTAAAATCGGTTCAAACTAAATTATCTGCCCCTAGCCTAATAGCCGTCACTAAACCTTCTCTACGATTTGTAAACATTAACGTGACCACAGCTCACCAGACAATGTGGGGGTAGGGTGGGGGTGATAGTGACAGTGATAGAGAGAAAGAGAGGGGACTGCAAGGAGGCGCTTGCAGCTTGTTTTCTAACGGCTCCCAGAAGAGAATTATATATATAGATGATAAGCCTAACATTGAAATGCCTTAAACGTAGGCCTATAGTAAATAGTATAGGCCCAATTTTATTATTTTTTATAATTAGGGCCTACTACTAATTAGGCTAGGCCTTTATTAAACTATTTTAAGTTTATAATTATTAGGGCCCTAAGTAATTAAATAATAAATAAATTTTAAAATTAGGCCTAAAAAAAACAATTTAAAATTTAAAAGTTTGTTAGTTTAGTTAATAGTTAGCAGTTAGAGTACTGTTAGACTAGAGAGAGAGTTAGAAAGTGATAGTTATAGGAGTTATACTTATACTACTTATAGCCACTTATATTATTATTAGGCATTAGGCCTTAGGCCCTATATAGTATATACTGGGCCTATACTATATAATCTTTAGCCAGGCTATAGGCAGTATACTGAGTATAGATAGGCCCTACACATAAATGATAAGTCACATAGACATTGACATAGGCCTAACATTTTAATTTTATTTTAACATCAAGTTTAACTTTTTTTATAAAGCCTTACAAGCAGTTATGGTAACATAAATATAAATCTAACTAATACTAATGTCTTCTATCTGTAAGGAATGACTTTGTCCTCTAGATTCCATAACCTATTAACCTTCCTTACATAAATTTTCTTTCAAACACAGCTGAACACTTGGCCTTCGTAACACTCAACTGTGCATTTTAGACTGTTAGAACTGCTAAGACACGTTCCGTTTATTCTCGAGTCTTGCTAGACTAACGTCGCATAATATATTCACTATACAATTTACAGAAATTTTAAATAAAATTTAACTGAAAAGTATAGATAATACACATTTGAAAACTCTGTTAATAATTTTTGTTTAATTTGCCTTACCTATTTAATTTATATTTGTTGTTAACTTACGATCAGAAGTGTAGGTTAACAATCAGAGCTGCCAGGTCAAGTGTTGCCAGACAACCTACAAAAACCTTGCCAAAAACCTTGTAAAACTATTAATTTTGGCTCGTTTGCCAAAAATCCCACCCGACATTCCATCAATTTGTTGATAAGGGCTAAATATATTTTGGGTAAAATTTTGACTTGGTAAAAGTATAGCCTCAAGATCAGATCATTCTCAAGTCTGATTCATTCAGTGTTTCTTCCAGACTTTTTCTCTGGGGCGCACTTAATATTTTCGGGGAGCGGGGTAGACACTGGCAAAAGTATGTTTTCTATATAAATTCCATTTCGTTCGGGGGGGGGGGGGGGGGGGGGAGGGCGGTAGACTTTTTTCGAAGAGATGCCTGGAAGAAACTCTGGACTCATTTGATTTGCGATCGGATTTTGCCAGTGAGGACGATAGATCTAGTTGCCGCGGCCGATAACAGTTCAGATACCACAGCGCAAAATCGATTCTAGATCTAGTAAATGAAGTGCACCAGAGTTAACACTTAATATCTTGACTTTGACTTAGTCATCTTGGATCCTTGTGGACCATATGGCCTCCACCATATCCTTCCATTTAGTCCGATACCCGGCAATTAATTTTGCAGTTTCTCAAAACATCCATATCTATCTCGTATATATTTCGTCCATATAAATCTCAATCCCCTTCAACACTAATAATTAAGAACGAAGAAGAAGAAAGAAGAAAACATCCATGTTGGCTTCAGTTCTCTGAGAAGACTTCGCCTCCTGGTCTGTCTTGGGCGCCCTCTCTTCCGCTTTCCATGGGGTTTTCCATTCAAGCGCCTCATGTGTCATATTTACTCGTAACATCGATATCTTGGTATTTCTATATCATGGAACCCTTGGCATCACGACATACATACGAATGAATCGTGCCAAAGTTACCTATACATGCGCCCGTCGATAGTGTCTATACGTTATATGACTAACATTCTTTATATTTCTATATCGTGGCCCAGAATCCGACTTATGACAGTCGTGCTTGTACGCCCTGTTTATTCTCTCCTAACATTTTAATTTCTTAAAACTAACTATGTCAAGCAAAAAAAAAAAAAAAAGAAAAAAAAAAAGGTCGGACGAATATGGACACTTTGGATTCACATGTACAACAGAACTTGATGGGAGTAAGCGTCCCAACTGCAAGATTTGCAATGCCAATGTGAGCAATTCTATTCTAGCACTGGCAAAACTAAGATACCTTTTCCTTAAGCTGTATGGAGTGGAAAATAGAAGAACACAACGCTAGCTGATATTCAACGTGAAGTCGCCAGAGTTTCTTCCAGGCATCTCTTCGGCCATTTCTGAACTGGTGCCTGAAAGATGTGACACTGATTTACAGTACTCATTCATTATTATATTTTAGTTTTTGTGTGAAAATAATATTTTGATGGTTTTGTTCTTTGAACACTGCGGTGTTGACGCACAGTTAACTTTGGTGCACTAATAAAATATATACCTATGTTTCGAATTTTAAAAAAAACCATCATATTTTATTTTTTAAGAACCACTGCTCTAGCTTGACCGCTTACATTTTTTTACCTTTGACGTAAATGTTTATACAACTAATATTTATTTTTTAAAATAAATTCATGGTTTCGCCTATAGACGACCCCCCCCCCCCCCCACACATAACTGCTACAGACTATCTGAAAATACTACCTAATATACACTATATACCTGGTGCCCTGTCAAAACGACCTGGGACAAATCGGCCCCGTCAAAACGGCCCCGTTAATATGACCCCGTCAAATCGACTCCCGACAAACCGACCCCGTCAAAATAGCCCCGTCAAAAGGGCCCCGACTTATTGGCTCCCGTCAAATGGGCTCCCGTCATATTGACTTGCGACATATAGGCTCCCGACAAATGGGCTCCCGACATTTAGGCTCCCGACAAATGGACTCCCGACATATTAACCCCTGACAAATAGGCTCAGGACATATTGGCTCCCGACAAAGCGGCTCCCGACATATTGGCTCCGGACATAAGGACTAAAGACAAATGGGCTCCCGACAAATGGGCTCACGACATATTGGCTACCGACAAATAGGCTCCCGACATATTGGCTCCAGGCAATTGGGCTCCCGACATATTGGCTTTTGACAAAATGATTCCCGACATATTGGCTCCAGACCAATGAATGACCATTATTGGCATAAAAGTAACCATTTTGTCCTACCTCCAATACCACTATAAATTCTTTTGAATGCCCGAACGAAATTGTTTTTCATGAACCAACATTAATTCACAAACAAATCGAGCCCTTAACAGCTAAATTCCACCAATTCTAAAGTTTTGATAATGTTTAATTTACAACAGAAAATCTGTTGTAAATGTATGATATACATAATGTTTACATGATAACAGCATCTTGTTTTGATAACCTACTAGCATACTGCAGGTAGGAAGGTATAGCGTGGACCCTTCTCCCCACACACTGAGTTGGAACAGCCCATCGACTCAATTATGGATGTCATAGATAGATGACCCTTAAATTAAAACATACTATATTTTATAATAGATAAACAAATATAAAAATAAGGCCTGCCGAACAAGAGATGCATACGTTGTATTCAGTGGCGGAACTAGAAAAAATGGGCCACCCCGCAAAAATATTTTTATCTATATCTATATCTATATCTATATCTATATCTATATCTATATCTACATCTACATCTGCATCTGCATCTGCATCTGCATCTGCATCTGCATCTGCATCTGCATCTGCATCTGCATCTGCATCTGCATCTGCATCTGCATCTGTATCTGTATCTGTATCTGTATCTGTATCTGTATCTGTATCTGTATCTGTATCTATATCTATATCTATATCTATATCTATATCTATCTCTCTCTCTCTCTCTCTCTCTCTCTCTCTCTCTCTCTCTATATATATATATATATATATATATATATATATATATATTTAATATACACACACAATAAGAACATAGGATTCTCACTGCTGGCCTGTTCGGGTTTTGAAAAAATAATTGTTTTTTTTTCAATTTAAGCAAATTACAACATGTCATGTGTGTAAGTACAATAGTCTGTTTTGAATATATAGTTTATTTTTCTCTGCTATCAGATCTCTTGATCTCTAGTCGGTCAAAAGTATATAAAACATGAAAGCTTTGTATAAGATATGGTGTCTCGTTTTATGTTTATTTTTATGTGTTTTTTTTTTTTGCTTTTATATTATTAATTTTAAATGCATTTCCTTTTTGTACAATGTCATTCTTTAGTAAGTACTTTATAAAAAATAATTATCAAGAGAAGTAATTACTTTTTAATTTGTTTAGTGCAAATCTATTTAAAGGAGCTTATGGGCACACCTATTTGACTATTTTAAAAAGGGAAATAAGTCATGGAAGTGGTTTGAACGCTTACTTATCTTTGATAAGTTTGATTGTAGGAGAAAGAGGACTCAAAAGGAATAATAATCATTAAAAAAGTTTTAAAAAACCCACGTTTTCTGATTGAACTAAAAAGTAGAAAATAAATACTATACATCACAATAATGCAAGCGATCACTCTACTATAAGCGATGAAAAACGTGGGGCGCCGAAGTAAAAGTTATATTACTATTGATTAGATAATACTATTGACTTTTATTAGGGAGCTTGTAGAGAGTCAACAGTATTAGAAACTGTTAGAAAATCACGGCGCTCCACGTTTTTGATAGCTTATAGTAGAGTGATCGCTTGCATTATTGTGATGTATAGTATTTATTTTCTACTTTTTAGTTCAATCAGAAAACGTGGGTTTTTTAAAACTTTTTTCATGATTATTATTTTCTACTTTTTAGTGTTTGTCTGTTTGTTTGCATGTAAATCTTGCTATCGATTTTATCTTTTCACTTTTTTTTTGGGTAAACGAAGACAACTCGTAAAAAGACAACTCGTAAAAAGACAACTCGTAAAAAACACGTTGTGTGAATACGTTACTGACTAGAACAAATAGATTTGAACCCGTGTCGAGTGGGATAGCAATCGTGTGCCCAACCACTCGACCATATCGTCTCCCCCATACTGGCCACCAGTTGTTACGTTATGGTTGTTTGTACACAAACACAGCGTGACAACTACTCAGTAAGCAAAAAGAGGGGGAGTGCCGAACCTTGTTTTCATCAAATTACAATTACTGGGTAATGTCCCTTTCCCCCCACGTTTTTTGGTACAATTATATAGCGGTCTAAAATGATCAATAAAATGTTTCCATGGATTAATTTAGTAATAAAAACAATAGAATATTCAATTGTCATCCAAAACAAAGCTTCCCTGAAAATTTCAGCGCGCTAGCTAACTGGGAAGTGCCAGAAATTTCGATCGCAAGATTGGATTGGAAAGACAAACAAACACACAGAGAAAGCAAGTTAAAGAAAACGTGGGAAAAAGAATACAAGAGCGCGGGGATAATCCAATCGCAGCTATAGTAATCTTTTTACATAACAACCATCAAGTTAAAAATGCAAGAAAATTATATTTTTTAACTATATATTTTTTAAAATTATGGTCGGCTGTGGGCCCCTAAAGGGCTTGCCCCCCCCCCCCCCCCCCGCATTGCGGGGTCTGGCGGCACTGTAGTTCCGCCCCTGGTTGTAGTACATCAGAGTGTTGGATAAGCTAACTCTAAAGAATGTTGATGAAGGGGTCCCACTGACAGGTGTCATATTCAATGAGACCGCTTTGCCGGGCGACTTAGTCTCTACAGAAACGGTATTGTCAGTGGTCCTTTTGTCTGGAGCCAAATTGATAGGAGCCTTTTTGTCGTGAGCCAAAATGACGCTAGCCTATTTGTCGGGAGTCGTAATGACGGGGGCCGTTTTGTGGAGAAACTAAATGGCGGGAGCCTATTTGTCGGGAGTCGTAATGACGGGGGCCGTTTTGTGGAAAAAACTAAATGACGGGAGCCTATATGTCGGGAGCCAAAATGACGGGAGCCTATTTGTCGGGAGCCTTATTGACTGGAGCCTTTTTGTCGGGAGCCTATATAACGGGAGCCTATTTGTCGGGATCCTAAATGACGGGAGCCTATTTGTCGGGAGCCTATATGACGGGGTCCATATGTCGCTGGCCCTTTTGACGGGGCCGATTTGACGGGGTCGTTTTGACGGACCCGTTTTGTCGGGGTCGTTTTGACGGGGCCGTTTCGTCATTGGCCGAATTGTCGCCGCACGTATATACCTATACTCCAATCCATTTATCGTGTACCATTCGCCCCAGAAGAACTTAATTGCAGTTGTGTCTACTTTAGACTTTAAAGCTGTGTATAATAATAATGAGTCGTCCAAAAAAAGACTTTACACCCGGTGGGGGGGGGGGGGGTATGAATTTGAGAGGAATATAATTCAGAAATCATACTTTGCATTTCAAAGAGCAATTTTTAAAACTGAAATTTATGAGTATTAATTTGCATTTTAAAATCCTTTTTTAAAATTTGGTAAAAAAATTAATTGAACAATATAGGTACTACCAATTTTAATTTGGACCCAGGTCAGCTAATATCTTAAAACAGAATCGCAGTTGCAAAAAAACAACTTGCTATTTGATGGGGTGTGACTTTTTTTAAAAGCAGGCTTTTGAATTACGACGAATGCCGATGTGGGATAGGGGTCAAATCGTTATTTATGTCCCACATCCATATATATATATATATATATATATATATATATATATATATATATATATATATATATATATATATATATATATATATATATATATATATATATATATATATATTCCCCCTAAAACTTGATGTTTATTTTATTTCTACTCGAAATTTACCTTTCATTCATTCAGCAATTGTGTGTTTCATATTTGTGTATACGTAGTTGATTTAGGTTGTTAGAGGGATCAAAACCTAAATAGACAAAATGGCTGACGATCGCAACTGGCGTTCGTATGACTCAAACGATGACGATAGATATTCTAACCGTCATAATAGCGATCGCCCCTACAGGCGTTCAAGAGACGATAGAAGCAGCAGATCAAGCCCAGAAGACGATAGATACGAAGATGAAAGTCGAAGTTATAGAAGATCAAGATCTCGGTCGGGATCTCCCGAAGAAAGACGACGACGTCGAGCACGGAGAAGAGAAGAAAGAGAAAGTAGGAACGATAGTGATAGCAACGACAGACGGTACGAAGATGGTACATACGGTTATAATAGTAGGCGAGGGGCTTATGAATCTGATTCAAGAAGTTCTAGGAGAGATGAGGAGAGTCACTACAGTGGCAACGAAAGGATCACTGGTCATGATTGGAGATCAAAATTGACATCTATTCGAGATGCTCATTTCAACAGAAGTAAAAAAGCACCTGTCATGGCACAAAACCAGTTTAAAAACGATGGCAGCTTTTTAGAAATGTTCAAAAAGCAAATGGCTGACAAAAGCACAACATCAGTTACTCCTAACTCGCTGGTTCTAGCATCTTCATCAATCCCATATAGTCCAGATTTGTCATTGCCACCACTAACAGCCACTCCCATTGGGCTTGAAGAACCCCACACATCAAGTAGTACTGATCAGGACCTTGATGGTGTGCCTATGCCTACCCATAAATCTTTGCCAGTACCGGTTTCTGTAAGATAATTCTTGTTAAATTAAATTTTATGTTTTTAAAAGCCCTATGAAATTAAAAAGGAAAAGTTAAGGAGACTATTCTGACCTATCTAAAAGATAAACCTAAGCTTGTATGTCCCTACATTTTTTGTCCAACAAAAAGTGATATTTTGTTTAACAAAATTCGATATTATTAGAATAGTACATTATTGTAATGAGTTTTATTGTTAAAAGGGTTTATCTAAATTATTGGTGATCATCTAAAAAAGAATCCTTTTAATAGTCTTCAAAGTGTAATTTCAATAGATCGATACTGACTATACTTGAAACTACTATATAAGCATGCTTTTATCATAATGTGAAAAGTGTGGGATTTGTTTCATTATAGTTTATGATTACAAATTCTTAACTTCCTTCCCTATCGCCCTAACAAGTCTAAAACATATTTAAAAAGTCTTGTGTTGTGGCTGCTTCCATAAATGATGTTACATATTCAAATAATTTGGTCAAGCATAATTTAACTATTTTAAAGTTCTTTAAACCATTTTGAAAGTTTTTGCTTATCATGCTAACATTAATATACACTCTCCTCTCCACAAGTAACTTAAATTTTAGAATGTGTGACTGAGGAGGGAACCACCTTTATAAAAATAAAAAAATGAATGTACTTTGGTTAGGCCTACCTGTAGCCCACACTGTGCAGCATAGTGTGATTTAGTGATGGAAACCATCAATTATTGATGCTGACAAATCTAGTCATTTCTGGCAAAAATAATTTAAAATGCCTAGGTCTCATCATTTATAGTTACAGTATAGTTTAAATAAGAGTATAATAATACATTTACGTTTATGGAGTATGAAATTAAAAAAGAAATTTCAGACAAAACAGGATATTGGAAAATATGAATTCATCATAACTTTCCTTCCATTTAAGTGATGAATTTTATACAGGCATTCAAAATAAATATAGTCTAATTGTTTAATTTATTTTGTAAAGGTTAGGGTTTTATTTTTGAAGATTATTTGTTGAAGTATAATGCCACTAAAATAAAAAACTTCAAATGGCATGAAAAGTAGGGGTGCATAACTCATCTGAGTTGTGACACTATCAGGTTTGTTTTTGCAGGTGGGTAAACGCAGGCTTGCTAAACCCCTTAAGACTGGCATTGTTCTCAAGAAACCACAGGAGCCCGCAGAGGTAATGGTAGTAACTTCATAAACTTGTTTTTAATATTTTTCATAACAGTTTGAGCAAATAACTTTATAGTTGTGCTTCTTGACCAATGTAAAACTGTATTTAGCTTCTCCTTTATGTCACATCTCTTGCTGTATGTGGATAGATGTACAATATCTATAAAGTATTTTTCAAGCTGCTTGGGAGCAATTGTTAACTGTGGCAAAATCTGTTATATGCCTAATCCACTTTAGAAAAAATTGCAAGAATCCGAAGTAGTGCATATATTTCTGTTGATGTTTGGATTTGTCCAATTAGAAAGTAATTAGAATTGAAGGAGGAATTCGGTATATAGGTAATGTCTCAGCAGTTATTTTTTCTCGGATTGTATCCATTCTCATACATGAAGATTTCTCTGCAGGATGAAGCCAGCCAGGAAAAATTGGATGCCTGGGCCAGGTACTTGCAGGAGGTGCAGAAATACAAATCTGCCAACTGTATGGATGAAGACAACAGTAGACCCTTGGTTAAATAATAATTGCTTACCTTTTAGTTTTGAGAACATTACAGCTTTTAAACTTTACTGTGTAATACTTCAATGTGTATGGGTAGCTTTGTTGTAACATTGGTTATATTTATAGTATAGTAGAATTTCAAATGAAAGCACTATTCATTTGAAGGTTTTGCTTAGTACAAAATTGAGGAAAAGTTCTATGAATTACCAGTAGTTAATGCTTGTTGGTGTTATTAGAATTAGACATGGGTATTGCCGGGGTGGAATAGAAGCAAATATTTATCAATCTGTCAATTTTTTCTAAATGAAAGTCCACCCATAAGTGTGGGAACGTAGTGGGGGAGGTAAAACCAAGTATTCTATAGATGCCAAAGTATAGGATAAAAAGAAGAGTTTTGAGCACTAAGGTAACCCAAAATGCAAATGTAGGAAAGTTAAAAAAATATTTTTGAAAATTTTTTTAGGTGCTGGTACTGTTGTGTACGGCTATAGTTAACAAAAAATTGGTTACTTATAAGAAGCTAGGCTCTTTGCACATTTTACCTTTGCATACATTCTCTTATTCTTTAAAAAGTCAAATAGCTTTTATTTTATGGCTAACAAATAGTAAGGAGGTTTATAAATGATCTTCATGGGTTCATTACCTAGCTAACAACATGCTTTATAACTTCATGGTTTCCCATTTCAGTATCAGAGAAATGGTCACATTTACATTAATAAACCACCAGTTTTAGGTAGTTAATCATTTCATTTAGAGGATGTGTTTAAGTTTTGAACCTCGTTGAAAGAAAAAAGAAAATATTTATAATTTAAATTATTATACTTTTCAGGTCTCAAAATGTTAGTGGCTTTTGTATATTCATGGCCATAAAGCTACATTTATGTTAGTAATACAGAAGGCTACACATTTCCATTGTTACTTCCTGTACTTAGATAAAGACCATTTAAGTTTCCAGAGAATTTGAAATGGTGTGCTTGTTTGTTGTAACAGTTTGTCCACCCTTTGTCTTAAGCACTGTCCCCTGTGCCTGTTACCTTTAAAGGAGGAGAAAAGAGTTTAGTTTATTTTTAAATGCTCTAGATGAGCATATAGACCTAGACAAGTGTTGGGGGCCTGTATATTTGTGTAAATAAAGTTTCAATGTAATTGTGTCTACACCTCTCAACAACTGCATGTATTAAAAGCGATGACAAGTTAGAGAATTTATTTTTATTTTTTGTTTTCATAATTTTAAAAATTTACATACATAATTTTTTAAATATCAAGCATTGCTGATTTATGATGAATGCAACAGACAATAGTTTGATGTAAACAAAAACGGACAAGAATGTCAGTGCACAGTGATTCAAAAGCAGGATAATCTTTATGGTACTTGGGCTGAAATGACATGTCACTATACAGGCTAGTAGTATTGTAACTAAGCCACAGCCATGTCAGCAGGTTATCTGCCAATTAAATCACTGATCTCACTTGAAAAAAGAAACACTTCACAAAATCACTTCACCTATCAACACCACAAGTGTCAAAACAAAGCTAAGAAACATTGAAACAATTAAAAATGATCTTTTGCCAATTCACATAAATTAGGTAGGTCTATACAAAATGTATAATATATGTATAAGTGTTGCATCAACATTTGAAATTATTTACATCTTTAACAAAACAAAGGGAAAAAAAAAGCTGCTTATCTCATTAGAATATAAATCTGACTTAATAGAAAAATAACATTCATAGTATTTTAATTCCTGACAGAAATCAAGATCCCTCTTTTTTTCATCATAATCACAAATAACAATTCTTATGCACCAGTTAAGAGTTACTGTGAAAACAAAGTGGTCTTGTTGACAAGTAAAAAGTATTTGCATTAATCAGAAATTCACTTTAATTTCCAGCGAAATAAATAACAGTACATAAAATCTACATCTACAACCCAGACTAAATTAGGAAGACCCAAACTGTTTCTACATTAATCAAGTAAATACAATCTTGTACAAACTTGAAAGTTGTGCAGCTATGCTTCTTACTTACAATGTGATCTTTTAACAAAAAAGCACACAACCCAGCAAGACGTACAATAATATCAAATAAAATACCAAGAAAAGTAAATTTTAATCAGGGGCCAGACAAAATAGAATACTCATTGATATAATTGCACATTTTATGGGATTTGAATATTTGGTTTTAACTAGCAGTAGTAGTTATTTTCTTTTGGATGGAGAAACCACAAAAACTATGACATTTAAAAATGCAACGAGCATTTACCAACTAAAATTAATGATTAAAGATTTATTCTAATGCAAAAAATTAAATTTTCACTCGATAAAATAAAATGTGCTACAAAATATTTTGGGCAATCATTTGATAATTCTCAAGCAAGGTAAACCTAACACTACTAACAGTGTGGTACTCAATTTAATTAATCTAAGTAAGCATGTTTGGAATGGTTATTGAATGGAACACGTTATTTCCTTCATTTGTTAAGTATGCTATACATTTAGAAAAATAATGGGACGGTGGGAAAGGATTAACATATACTGCTCCAATTTTATTCTTTCTAAAAGGGCAGGAGTGACAGATAGCCTGGTATACCAAAGGCACTTTTACAAGAAAAGTGCTGTTATCTGGTTTGAACTAAAATTATAGCTAAATCTTTTTCTTGATAGATATTAGAATGTGTAGATCTCTACATTTATTAATTTAGGGTAAGATTTTTTGGTTAAAAAATTTAAATGCAGTTGCAGTAGAGCATACAGATTATTTTGAATATTATGTTTGCAACTAAACACATTTAAATCTTTTGGCTATATTAACATGGTTTAAAATAAGGTCATTTAATCATCCTTACACAATTCCAGAATGTTTGAACATTTTTAAAAAAAAAATATTTTTCGACTTCAAGGAACCATCAATTGCTTCTGAAATTTGTAATGTTTACTTGCACAAATAAAGGTCTTTGTACATTGCACTCACTAAAGATAAAGGGAATCCTGATTATGACAATTAGATCTAGCATATGTCATTTTTTATGGACTGGCACTGCTCAAACAAGCTGAATGCAATTTAAACTGTTTTTGTAGTTCTACTATTTATGGCATTGGATATTTTTATTATTTTTTAATTACCTTTATTTTAATGGCAAGATGTAAAGAAGCTAATCTTTTTCACATGATTTTAAACTGAAAGTAAAGTTATATGGTCTAAAAAAGGTTTCATTAATCCCCTAATTTAAGCCATTATATCCCACCACAAACAAATCTCCATACTATGTAGTAGCTTACAGATAACTATATGAGTTGAGATAGGGAGATAAAATACCCTTTGTAAGAAATGCATTATTAAAGTTTGATTCTATCATCAAAGGTGTTATCAGGAGGAATTTAACACTAAGTTATAGTTGTTACATCACAGTTGTACCTTTTCTATCACAAAACTATTTTCATTCAACACTAAAGTAAACATTTCGTAGGGCTATGTTTGAATATTCCATGATAATTCTCATTTTTTAAAAATGTTACAGCTTAAAGCAAAATATACACTTCTAATTCTAAACTTTGATAATTATTGATACTTGGATTTTTAAAAAAACATTTTGACTTGACAATATCTGATTGTGATACATATAATCCTGATTTTTTTTCCAAATGGACATAAATTTTATTACCGATACGCACATCATCACTCTAATTACAGTTTTATTTATACACTAGAGGAAAGGATGCTTATAACAGTACAGTTACGACGAAATATCCGAGACCTGCTCCTACAACTGACACTTCAATGAGCCAAAACAAAACTGCATTCACTAGACCACCAGACTTGAAAATGAATATGATTTGTAAGCTTGCATGCACTCCTATATCTAATATCACAGACGTGCAGCAGCACAAGAGTCAATGTTAGGAGTTTTGTGTGAGCAATGTTTTCATATCATCTAGAATGTTGGCAAGGAATGTCTGGTCTGAACTTTTGCCCTCAACGTTTAAGGAACCATCACTCTGGGAAAGAGAAAAGTACATTTGATAAAAAATATATTTACCCTACCACAAAAAGAAAAGTACATCTGATAAACAATATATTAACCCGACCACAAAGAGAAAAGTACATCTTATAAACAATATATTTACCCTACCACACAGAGTAAAGTACATTTGATAAACAATATATTAACCCTACCGCAAAGAGAAAAGTACATATGATAAACAATATATTTACCCTACCACAAAAAGAAAAGTACATCTGATAAACAATATATTAATCCTACCACAAAGAGAAAAGTACATTTGATAAACAATATATTTACCCTACCAGTACATTTTGAAAGAGAACATTTTTCTAACTTTTTTTAAAGGTTTCAAGATAAATTAAAAGAATGAAAAATATAGCACTCACAAATTTGACTAGTAAGCACACTGGGTGTCCCTGGATTGAGCGACTGTACAGTGAGGCACTGTTTTCTATTTGTTCCACAACTAGAATCATTTGTAAAGAAAATTATTACTAGAAAGGTTATAGGTAAAATGTTAAAACATACATACATTATCATTTTAACTGATAAATATAAATATTGAAAATGTTTAAAAAAAGAAATAGACTTTTTAAAAAATATAAGCATTCAACTGTATTAAAAATTAGAACAAACATACATTTTCTTTAGCTTAAATAAAGTGTTGATTGAAAATATTACTTAGAGCCACCAATTTTACTATTTGTCCTACAAAAGCTAACAAAAATTTATATATATTTTTTTTACTTCAGCCTTTTTCAAAGCTTGTATTTATGGAGGTTCTTATAATAATAATTGTTTATTTTTAATACAAAATATCCAGCCATGTCAAATATAGTGTAAACATCCAATTGCCAAATATTGGCATTTAGGCTAATGCCTATTTGCTCACCGCTGAAATGTAGATAGAAGCAAGTTTTAGCCAGCAGATGTGACAGCTGTGAATCTGTCGGGGAAAACTTGATTGAAGATTTCTCTGTAAGTTCTCCATTACTTAATAGTGATGCAAAGTGTTCACTGAATAAAATAAAAAAAAAATTTAATTCATATAAACACTAGAGGTTCTATTAAAAATTATAGGAAACATTGTACTAAGGTGTACTACAAAGTAGGAATATGTGTACCTGTTACAACCGGTTGTGACAAGATATGTACTGCAAGGTAAGTTAATCTTGAAATCAACTTTATCATGGGTTGATCCATCTGATGACTTTATACATGGAGAGAATTTAAACTTAATGAGCTATATTTATCTATCTATATACACACATATTCTTAGATAGGAAAATTGTATCTCATTTTATACATGATAGTTACATGGGGATGAGTTACTGAGGTATCATCACCATAATACCCCAGAGATTTAATGACAGTAATGATAATGTCTAGTTTTTGTTTTACACGACAGTTGACGTTAACAACGCTTTATGTTTTAACTTATATCAAGACTGGACACAACTCTTCAAGTGATCCAATGTTTAAAGCATGTTAATAAATAAATACCATATTTCCTTGACAACTAACTAAACAATCTATCAACTTAAGATAAAAGCATGTTTAAAATGAATTAAGGAATGCTACAGTTAATCAACTAATCAAATGTAAACATTGTGAAAGTAATCTGCATGATTAAAATAGTTTGATCTATGCATAGGACTACAACTATTTTTATTAAATGTATTAATTAACATTTATTTTCGTTTGTTTTGTAACCTACCTTAAGAATATATGTTAACGTTCCTCTCATTTTCTGAGGCATGATGATTTTGTCAACCATAAATGCAAACTGTCCCTCATTCTGGGCCTCAGGTAACAAAACAAACGGTACTTTGACAGCATCATGTGTTTTTTGACCCATCTGAAACAGTCAAGTTTACTGATTACCCATCTCTAATAGACTAGTATTTAACTACAATAGTTAGGAATACTCATGAATAGGTATTGTCTTATTATTTTAAAAAAAAAATTATGTCTTAAAATACCATCTTTTTTTGTAAAAAGTTTCTTTAAAAATAAAATGAAAACATTAAACACAAATATTTACCCCTCGAATGAGTTTGGTATTGAGAGTATCCAAGACACTGAACTCAAGATCTTTAATGGTGTCTTTTGTAAGGTTGGTAAACACGACAGAGACAACAATTTGATCACTCCTCTGATGGTTGATGCGGGTTTCATAGGTCTAGTGAGGGCAAGAGAAAATCACCTTTTAACATCTGGTAGCTATTCAGTGTTAATAATAACAAACTTACTTACAAAACAAATTTAAAATCTTACCAGTTTTATTGCAGAGTTTTGCGCAAGAGGTAAATAACTTGACATAGGCTGAGAATAAAAGACAAGAATTTTCATTAAAGGTTGCAGATTAATAATTTTATGAGGGTTTTCCCATATAATAATACTACTAGAATACATAATCTATAGTTATTTTAACATATAATTCTATACTCGTTTTTCAGTTAACTGAGAAGTTAATCTTCTAGTTTGAGAAAGTGAAACTGGAAAAACACTTACAGGTAATTTGACGTCATTTGGTGTAGGCTGCTGTGACAAGCTGATTGTTTCTTTGGAAGGTGTTGTTGTTCCATCTGCCTCTTCATACTCGCTTCTTTTGTCTTTCAATTTTTTCTTTTCTTTCTTCTTTTCCTTCTTGACTTTTCCTTTTTCTTTCTTTGATTTTTTATCTTTTTTCTTTTTGACTTTCTGAAATTTCAAAATATAAGCAAACTACCTAAGTACTTTGATACAGAGAACAAATCTGTATTAAAGCCTAACATTTTGATCAATTAATGAGTTACCTCTTCATTGTGTATTTGCTCTTCATCCTCTGAGGTTAAAATAACATTTTCTACAGCTATCTTAGGTTTGGTAGGAGATGACCCGTTCTGAAGTTGAAGTGGTGTCACTTCTTTAGGCTGACTATTTGGATTGTTTGAATCCGTTGACAGCCAAAATGTAAAATCATCTTTTGTCTGTGAGTTGACATAAGCATAAAAAAAATTACTTCAGAAATCTAATCTACAGCAGTTTTTAAAATATTTTTGTTCTTAAATCATAACATGATAACTGGTGGAGGGCAAAAAAAATTTATAAATAAGTTGAGCCAAAAGTGTTTTCAATAAAATAAGTGTATTATTATACTGTTAGTTATAAGAGATTTTTATCACGATTAATCATTCATTCAACATTACCTCTTTTTGTGGAGAATCCTGAATTTTATTTTCACTTTCAACTTTAATCTCTTCTTTAGAGGACTCTGTGATAACTTCAGGAACATCCATTGATTCTGTTATCAATAAGGAAGGTCCATTTTCTTTAGTCTCTGACTTCTTGCGTTTCTTTTTCTCATTCTGTGGCGCATAAGAGAAAAATAAACTATAAATACTATCCAGCAACAAAATCCCTTTGACAGCCAATGCATTAACTTAAAATAACAAACAAGAAATTAACGTCTGCATATATGGAGGGAGGGGGGAAAAAAAAAGACAATACCTTTCCTTTCTTCTCCCTTTCTTTCCTATCTTTTTTATGTTTCTTTTTTGATTTCTCTTTTTCTGGTGATCCTTCTGGTTTAGAAGTCTCAAGCACTATATGATGTGTTCTAACAGGTAGAATTTCATCATCTCTCAATGGCCTGTCCAAGTTGCAAGGAATGCACTTATTATTAGCAATCTATTTCTAATTAGCAATATAAAAAAAATTTGACAAGCATGTGTTAAGGTGTTCAAACTTACTCATCAAGATTTATGTCCAGAGCTTTGTACTGGTCAGATTTCTTTCTATCATCTTCATTATCAGACACATCAATTCCCTATAAATTGTACAGACATTTGATTACACAGTTTATAGGTAGCCTCTTAATAAAAGGCCATACAAAAGCATGAATAGAATTTAAATTGATCCAAATATTTGTAAACAGTACCAGCATTTATGAGATAGTGTTAAATGGTAGAGCACACTCTAAAATCAAGTCCACTGAGTTTTTTTTAACGATAATGTAGATTACTTTAACATGCAGACTGGGCACAACAATCAAAAACTGTAAAGCCAGAGTTCACCCAGCTCTAAGGGGTACCTGATTCCATTCAGAAAATGGATATCTGGCTATAGTGCTGACCACACAATTCCTTAACACACTGAGGCAACAACAAAAATTAACCCTACATCATCTGCCATTTAAACAGTCAAGACCTAACGGTTGCCTTACTTTTATCAATATAGATGGAATTAAAAGTACTAATGAAAGTAGTTAACCTACCTCTGGAGCATCTACCACAGTGCTAACTGAATGTACTGTAGGGACATCATCATCATCTTCAGATTCCGCTGCATGTTTCCCCTTTTTCCCCTTCTTTTTCTTCTTCTTGCCCTTTTCCTTCTCAACTTTTCTGGCTTGCTCTGCCTTTTGTTGAAGTAACATGTATTTGTCTGATGATGACATGCCTGCAATAAGTAAAGTGGTTAAGTGCCATATGCAACATAATAGTCAACAAGTACAATGTAAAAAAAAAATACAATGTGATACACCAAAGTTAAAAAACAAACTTTAAATGTATGTGCAAATCATCAATAGTGAATAAAAAAGTTAAACAAGTAATTTTTTTTTACCTGGGACATGTAAAGGAATGGACAAGTCTATTTCAGCAACTGGTATATCTTTGGTGTCAAATGCCTCTTTGGCTTTAGATTTTTTCTTTCCCTTCCCATCATCCTTCAGGTAGTGAGGGTTGTGTTCTACTTCTGTCTTTCTTATCTCCCTTCTCTGTCAAATATGTAATATGGCTTAGTAACAAGAAAACAAGTTTGATTTAGATTATCTGAATGTCACCTCAATATCAAGGTAAACTAAGGTAATTAACTACTTAATAACTAACCTTTTCAATCTCTTCCTCTGTTGGTTCATAAGCAGGTTTAGAATCCTCCCCATATTGATAAGAAGATCTACAAGTACAAATATTATAACATACTCCTCAAATTTTACCATGATTGACAAGATAATAATAGTGTTAAATTTAACATACAATATAAATACAGCAAGAAAACATTTAAGACAGGAAGCATTTTTGTGGTGGTACAGAATCTGTATCAAAGATGAAACAATTGACACTAAGTCAGTCTGAATACATTTTTCTACAGAGACTACTGCCAGAGTCGTGTGGGACTGACCTGTGCTGGTCATCTGTTGTTAGGAAGAACGCAGTACCTCCGACTTCTTCATCAGAGCTCTCTTCAACAGGCTCGTTGATCCATTTGTCAAGGTTAAGGCTGCACAGATTTTACCAGAGAATTAATATAACATACAAACTAATCAATTTTTAAGTCGCGAATTTAAAAAATACTACAAAAAGAAAACTTCACCAAAATAATGCAAGTTTACTTACCCTTCTGGAAGTGGGACCTTCTTTTGTGCCTTTGGTGCCACAGGATTTAACTCCCCTGCATATAATCCTTCTACTTCATCAGCCACCGCTGCCCCCTTCTCCTCCAATTTCACAATGTATTTTACTATTTGTAAAATGCTGCAAGCCTGGGGGAAAATTTTAAACACAGAATATCAGCACAATTTTTAGTTATTTTAATAACAAAAATTACAAGCTGAACTATACACTGTGATTTATGTTTGAAACAATTACAATACTGAAATAGACATTAGCATAAATCACTGCCAGAGATATAGTGAAACAATAAATGTAACCAGAGAACACAGGCTGATTAACAGGTGTGTGGGGGGTGATTGAGGGGAACATCTAATTTTCTCTTAGACTGATAACACATTTCACTTTTGAAGCATTTGTTATATTATCTAAGAAAAGTCCACCACAAATGATTCAGCCATGATCCAACTGAGCAGTCTGATGTTAGTCAGGTACTAGAAAGATTTCTGGACACTTTTGGCAGCATAACAAATTGATGTTCAGGTAGCCAACAGAATAAAAATTCTATTCTAAATGTCATGGCCATTTGCGTCTATCAAAATTTGATAACCAAACCCCCAGCCAATGTACTCACCCTTTCCTGCACTTCCAAGTCTCCACTTTGGATAAAAACAGGCAACTTTTCCTGGAGTAGAGCATGGACTTCCTTCTTCAGCTGATCATCTTCTTTAGCTTCAGCGGCTTTTAGAATCTTGCCATACAGCTTGAGGATGTTCTGAACAAAGATGGACTGGATGTGGCCAGGGAGAGATGTGATCTTGGGCTTCAGCATTGCTTCTAATGTGGCCTTAGGGTTGTTTAGATGCCTGGAAAATAGATATTAAGTCAATGAAAATTTGGCTTGATTTATATAAGAAAATCATTAGGCAAATTAAACACACGAAGACTTAAATTTTTAAAAATTATGTTGAAAAAGTAACAATGTACTATTCTTAAGGAATAACATAATATCAAATGTTAAATTAGGACAAAATTTATCAGCAATACGATAACAATGAGTTGTGTTATAAAAGGGCATTAATAGTGATTAGAAGCCACAGTGAGCAAAAATGTTTGCTAAACTATCAGAAAGTGATATTTTTATTTAACAGTGATAATCCCATAAATATCTAAATTTCCATAATCTATTATTGTTGAACCTCTATTTAAAAAAAAAATAGGTTTAATCAATAAGCAAAAAGTCCATGATTGCTGAATAATGAATGAATAATATAAATAATATAATAATAATGTTCAATAGCAGATTCTTGTTGTCAGGTCGTGTTACTAGAGATGTGTGAACACAACCAGACAGTAGAGTTGAAATTTTAACTTGCTGAATGTAAAGCTATGGATCACTGAACCATATACAAAAAAAAAACCAACCAAAAAATCCCCACTAATTTATGCTGATGACAATTTTAAACCATTTTTTTAAGCATAAGCTTGGTGTCAAAATAGTAAAATTCTTAAAGTTGCACCAGTAAGCAGCCCTGTTCCAAAAAAGAAAAACTTACTCTGAAAACTCTCCACAAATCCAGGCTGCTGCATGTAGAACCTCACAGATGCCATTCCTCTGGGAATTGTTGGCCAAGATATGGGAATTCTCCAGCAGTATGGCCTACAGCAGAGTGAAATATTCAAGTCATTCATGCTAATTTACTCACTATTTAAATCAATGCCAAACAAATTAAAATGTGCTATAAACATCATAGCCATTACAAAAAATGAAATCTGTAGTACATACCATTTGTGAAACAGCAAAGTGGCGGATGGCTTGTACACGAATTGCTACATCAAGCATTTGGTTGGCTATAAGCTTTCCATGCTTTGTACCCTCCATTCTTGTCAATTCTACTAGAATACTAACATACCTGTTGGAGAGTTATTTTATAGATTGCGGATTTAGGATGAAGTTAACATGCCAGTTGCATCACTACAAGTAAGGTTAGACACACATTATCTGCCAAAGATCATGACCACAGTTATACCAGACTTACCATTCAAAGTTTGTGACATATTGGTAATTAGACTGACTGCATATTTCCACAGTTTTAGACAAAAGTTCATCCCTGTAATGTGAACCTTCAGCCTTGTCCATGTGAACCATCAGTTTCTTGACAATCTCCATCAGATTCTTCTTGGACACCTGGTTCAAAACATTTTTAAAAAGTTATTATAGTTGCTAAAAACAAAAAAAAAATTATATAGCTCTTGAAACGTAGCAAAATAAATTATTCTTTAAATTCAGATTTCATTTAATTAAATTACCGTAATAGAAGATTTTTATTCACATTTTTCAATGCAAGGCACAAAATGGTAAAATAAATAGTTTGATGACGTTAAATGTCCCATAAGTTGCAGCATTTTGTTCTATATATTTTAAAGAAAGCATTAAACTATTAAATACTTAACAACAGCATAGTTCTTGTAAAGTTATTAAAAAAAAAAAAGAGAATGTGACAGGTACTAACCATTCCGTACAGCAAATCTAGAGCCCTAAGTCGGATAGACTCATCTCTATCATCCAGACACTGGAGAATAAGGTCTTTGTGTCCCTGCACTGACTTGGGGTGTGTTGCCAGGATACGAGACATGGCTAACAGCCCCAAGTATTTCACTACAACATAAACATATCCCAATAAGCTAAGTCATTTTGCGCCGTAAATAGTATGTTAAAAACATGGAGTAAAACCAACAGAAAAACAAAAAGTGATATTTAAACAAGACTTACGGATGACAAGTTACAATGGTAATGTTACAGGTTTTTTTTTAAAAACTCAAGACTCACAGTTTTGATCAGAGTCCTCAATAAGAATGCGCAGCTTTTGAACACATAACTGAAAAAATGCACAGCCAAGTAAAAATTAGCCATAGTTGACCACGTCATTTAGAGCCAACTCATGTAATGGGACTGTCACAAATATTAACTCAACATTTTTTGTTAACACTTCGACTATGAAACAGTTCAAGGTAAGAAGAACATTTTTTTTATTGTTAGTATAAAGAGTTAAATGTCTCTAAACAAGACACTAGATTAAAACAGATGTCTAAGGGAATCTTTTGCACTATAAAAGCAGATGCTTACTAGTAGGACATTATCAGAGAACTTAATGAACTAAGATTAACCTCTAATGTAAGTCTTATAGTTTCCTTAAATGTAAAATTGTGAGAATTTTTAGAAGATTATACTAGTTAAAACTAGAGGCATTATTTAGGTGGCAAAATGCTTTTTAAGTAAATAAAAGTGTTTTTTTAAAACCATGAAACTTTTTCTTCCCAAAATGAATAAGAAATTATAAGAAAGAAAAAATGAAATTCTTGAACACCTGCTGCCCTTCAAAATTCATGCAAAAAAATAAAAATAAATCTAATTTGGATTTTCATAATTAATAGCTTATGTATAGGTTCTATTACATAGCTGAAGCGGTTTCTAAACAAACAGGAAAGGGAACACCAGATGATAACTTAAAGGGAAGGAAATAATTTTTTATCGTAAGATGTCCAACTAACTTTGATGATATTAAATAGATGGAGTTCATCACTTTACCAATATAATACTATAATGTTAAAAATGTCATCTAAATTATTACATTCTTGTTTCCCTACATGAAGACTACCACCATTACAAATGTTACATGTAGCCATAAAGTTCACTAGAGTGTGAAGGCACCAGCTGACACACTCATTAATCCTCACCCCCCCACACCATGCTTGTCCATGATGCTCAAACCAAACAAAAAAAAAGGCTATGTAATAAGCACAGATGTTGCCTTCTGATGTTATAAAAACTCTGCAGGGAAATTTTAATGTGATGTAATAAAATTAAGTAAGATTAAAAAATTTTTTTTAAAGTTGAAGTTACAACATCTGAGCTTGGTTAGTTTTTAGCAATGGCTGAAAAAGGAAGAGGTTAAGAGTACATGGTAATGGTTTAAGAATACCTGAATGGAAGCTGTGTGGTTGGGGATGCCTGAAGATATAGAAACGAGAACTGTAAGTAAGAAAGGAGAAAAACAAAAAATGTATCACTGAAGGGATTGTCGGAAATCATTGCAGTGGTAATTTTAAATATTTTTTTACACAAACTATAATACATCACCATTACTACTAGTGCCAACAGATGTCCTTGTCAATTATAATACTATCTATCATATTTACTGCATTTCTTATATGAAACCTACATAGGAATGTATGCATTTAACTCACTAAAAATGTAAGTTATTAGAAAATTCAGGAAAAAGTTTTGAATCAAAGAAAGTTTTAAAAATCTTTTTGCCAAAAATATAAAATAAATAAAACAGCTTCATGCTTGTAGAAAAAAAATTTAATCCAAAATAAGGGAAGAATAAAAAAAAAAGGTTCAATGATGCTTAGCTCAAAATGAAATCAAACAGAATTTGATAACTAACTCTTCCAATGGCCACTCTTATGTACCTTACTCTATATATATTTCCTTAATTAGTAATTACACCAAGACTATCATAATTAATTATAAGAGTGGCCAGGTGTATAAATCATTCCTGCAGTACAAAGAAGAAAACTACATTAATAATATTCAGAACAAGAAAATATTTTATCCTTTGAATCTTTATCTACTAGACATTTTACTTAGATTACCAGAATGCAAGGTAGAGTAAAAATAAGTCTCTATCATTACATAGTTAAATTTTAATTTGTTCTCAATACTAGTAAATCAAAATTTTCATACCTGCTATCACAGTATTGATGCATTCATAAAGCAAGGACATAGCTGATGTGCTAAAAGTTAAAAAAAAAAAAAACAACAGTTGATTAATAATATGATATCATTTAGCAAAACAAAACAAATCTGGCACTTATATAAAAAGTAAGTTTACCTGTGAATTAAATTAGTCAGGGGTTCAATTAATTTCTTGCCCAGTCGAGGTTCTAAAGGTGTTAAAGCACTGAACTAAAGAGGAAAAGAACATTTACTAAATTATTATCTTACAGATTTTCTTTAAGAGAATAAAAAAAAAGCAAAAACCAATGAACTCAATAACAGTTACAAAAATCAGTAGAAATATTATCTGCCATTTAAAAGACTGAACTAGTTATAAAATGCGTAACAAAAAATGTCATACCAATTTAATGATTTTGATGAGAACCCAGTTATTGGTTGAAGTTGTCATCAATTTGAAGAAAAGTGGAGCCAAAGATAGATAGTTCTTGGGGTTTTTCCTGGCCAGCTCACAGATAACATTCACTGCTGCTGACTGTACACCTACAAACATTGGCACACAAACACACATTAAATGAGCCTGTACACCTACAAACATTAGCACACAAACACACATAAAATGAGCCTGTACACCTACAAACATTGGCACACAAACACACATTAAATGAGCCTGGACACCTACAAACATTGGCACACAAACACACATTAACTGCTGACTGGACACCTACAAACATTGGCACACAAACACACATTAAATGAGCCTGTACACCTACAAACATTAGCACACAAACACACATAAAATGAGCCTGTACACCTACAAACATTGGCACACAAACACACATTAAATGAGCCTGGACACCTACAAACATTGGCACACAAACACACATTAACTGCTGACTGGACACCTACAAACATTGGCACACAAACATACATTAAAATGAGCCTGTACACCTACAAACACTGGGTTACAAACACATTAACTGCTGACTGGACACCTACAAACATTGGCACACAAACACATTAACTGCTGACTGGACACCTACAAACACTGGCACACAAACACATTAACTGCTGACTGGACACCTACAAACATTGGCAGACAAACACATTAACTGCTGACTGGACACCTACAAACATTGGCAGACAAACACATTAACTGCTGACTGGACACCTACAAACATTGGCACACAAACACATTAACTGCTGACTGGACACCTACAAACATTGGGATACAAACACATTAACACTGGGACAGAGATAAATAAGTACATACACTTCATTAGTAAAATTCACATTTCTTTACCTGGATCAGGGTCTTCCAACTTCTCTTTCAATCTGGGAAAAGCTGGTCTCAAAGCCTCAGGAAACTGAAGGAACACCTTGTACATAATTAGAACAGCTTTTTTTCTTAGGTAGGGCCGAGAAGATGTCATCTGAAGTGAGAATTTCCATATTGTAAAATGGTTTTTCAGAAAAGGAGTTATTAAAACAAGTTTTAAAAAGAAGTTATTAGTTTCAGAATACTTAAATGTTGAAATTGTTGATATAACACTTAATTTAAAGAAACAGAAAGAGTGGACATATGACAACCTACCAAAGTCATGATGTCATTAGCCAGATCCCTTGCTAGGTCTGCAGTTATAAAACAAGAGAGCCCATTCAATGCAACACCAGAGTCATACATATTTTGGCTACTCATGTCCTAGAAGATAAAAAAAAAGACATGATATTAAACCCTGGAAAACTAATAATCTAATTTTAGATTTTAAAACAAAATTTAATTGTTGCAATGATAATAACTACGGCAGTTATTAATACTAGTAATACTAACTTTTAATCAACACTGTATGGTTTTTACATAAAATGATATTGCGAGCACTTTATGATTTAACAATTTACTATACATTAATAATCCTTTTAATTTATACACTTTGTATACTAAACTTTGTTAGCTGGATAATTTTCCAGCAATAATTTCTTAACTAATAAAGAAATTACTTTTTTACATTGATAGTTTCACTGAAGGTAGACTAGGGAGGGTGTTTGTGTGTATATGATACTATTTCAATGTTTTCGGCTATTAAACAGCAATTTAAAATAACAGAGTAAAGAAAGGCATGAAGTTGATAGTACACATGCTAGAGGTTTCATAAAGGTGATAATTTTTAATTAGGTCAAACACAAAACAATAACAAGATGCACAGTGACTCAGATTTCAAGTGGTATCAAAGCAAAAACTAGGTCAAAACACACTTCAGACATGATAACTTCTGCGTTGTTAAACCAGACACTAAAACTAACCGGGTACTGGCAACAAAATAAACAGGCTGGCATTGTGTTAAAAAAAAAACCAAAGCATTATAACCTCTGAATACAAGTTATATGCAAACTTGAGCCGTGCTTTAATGTTAAGCTCTTGGGAGGACAGTACATTAAAGGTGTTACACAACTCATGACTGGTGGCTTAAGAAAAGCGGTCAAAGTTTGGTGCCATTCAATAACATTTTTCTGAGCACACTATGCAAGACATGGAATAATGACACGTCATTGAATCAAACATTGGAGGTTGTTATACACATTTCAGCACATCCATACTGTAAACAATTGTTGTGCTATCATAGGTGTGCTAAATTAATACAAACATTGATATATTACTAAATTAAACTAGTTTGACTTTTTACAACACTTTTTAAGGTTAAATAAAAATAAAAGGGGCATTGAAAGATATAACCAGCATAAACAAAATAATTTTTTAAACAGGCAATAACCCAAGATACCAGGGTCATTAAGGATATGGCATTCTAATTAGTATAAAGATAAAATAACAAATTTTTCTAATTTAGAAGTCGCAGTAAAGATTCTAGTAGGAAGTATCTTAGAACGATCCCTTCTACCCCATGCCATAAGCAATCTAAAGGATCTGAGTGAAGAAAGTCAATGTCCTTAAGAAAAGTATCTCACCTGCCTTCTTGTTTCTTCTAATTGCTGAGCATATATTTGTAATTTTAACATTTTTTTAAATGCCATTTTCATGCATTGTACGTAAATCTTACTAGCTTTAATTGTAACCTATGCTAACCTAACATTTTCAGGATAATGAATATACAATTTAACTCCATGAAGAAAATAATTGATTTCCCTCCCAGTCAAACTATGATACTCTGTTTACTAGGCATGCTTTTCATAGAATAATACTAGTATCATGCAGTTAAAATATTTGCCTGCAAGAAACCTGATTGTTAAAATGCTTACATAGGCACCACCAAAGTCCCATTTAGCAACTTACCAATTCCTTTAGTAACAAAAGTAAATAAAATAAAAATAATTATTTTCAAAATAGCAGTGGAGTGTTCATGTATGAATAATGGTTTAATCAGTCAAACTGTAATAAGATATAATCAATAAGGTTTCTTGAATAAAAAATAAAATGTGTTTTGTGGTTATACTTTCATGCCCCAACATTATGCACAATATAATCTTATTTCAGTTTGGTACACACAAGTTATCAAATAGGCTAATGTAATTATAAACAAGTGGTTAGTTTTTTTTTAAATCTATGCAGTCAATAGCCTAAATTGACTACAATGCTAAATAAATAAGTTTTACAACTAATTTTAATACAAACACATAGATTACACTATGTTGCAGGTGTAAAACTTCCAAATTCCATCTCAAGGGGAAGACCACATTTTAACCCTTTGAGCCCGCCAGGCCGGTAAACCGGCTTCAACATTAGGCATATATGTCCGAAAAGCCGGTTTTCCGGCCCGATGATCTATCGTCATATTCTTAGCGGCCGTTATATGGTCTAATTAAATATAATTAGCGGAAGAATGACTAAAATTGCGCATATGTCTTTTTAGTGCGGGATTATGATTCTAAACATAGATTTTAGGAAAAGTGAAAGTGTTTAAATTTTGTAGCGATGCCGCCGAAACGAAAAGCTGAGCCACAACCATCGACTTCAGCACATAAAGCTGGTGCAAACGATAAAGCAAAAGACCGAAATATCAACAAAAGAAGTAGAATGACTGCATCTCAGGCAATACAACTACTTATTGATTCTGATGAAGAAGATAATATTCCTGGTCTATATTGTGATGATAGTGACGTTGAATTTGAGACTGAACACAGTGACATTAAAATTGACAGTGACAATGAAACTGTTCAAATACGTTCTGATGCACGTAGTGCTGTAAAACTTCAGTATCCTTGGCGTGTTGATAATAATTATGTGTTCGTTTTATATACATTGTTTTGTTCATACATTGTAAAAAAATAAAGAACTTCAGAATCTTGCTGCATTGTTGTTTGATCCTGAGTTTGGATACCAAATTTGGCTTGATTATCTCAAACGGTTCAAAAGTTATAGGCAAAGTTAGAAGCAGATAAGTGAAAATGGGTTTGGCCCTGGGAGCTCAGGAAATGGGAGAAATTAAGCCAAGGAGGCCCGGGCTCAAAGGGTTAAACTAGTTAAATAAGTAACATAAAGGGGGAAGGTGTGGTCAGGAGGGAGGGAGAGCTCATGGTTGGCAGAGTTAGAAACCCCAGGAAGATGAGGAGCATTAGCTGGGGACAGCAACCCATCTAGGAGAGAAAACTACAAAATCAAACAACTGCTGTCTTGTACATTGTTTTTGGATGAAATAAGGCTTTGGAAGCTAATCCAGAAAAGCAGGCTGAAGTCAGAGTCAACAAGTCATATGGTGCCTAACACATAGTAATTAACTGTATTGAAGGAAATTCCCTCCACTATCACAGTTAAGGATGAAGAAGTAGAAAAAATAATTTAAGTTAAGAAAACCATGTTAAAAATCAAGTTAGAAGTTTATTTCTATAACTAGATTATAAACTGCTGAAGTGGTATCGATGTAAATAAAAATCACTAAGCACAAGATTTATTAAAAGATTAACTGCTTAAACAAAAAGTTCAAATAGTACAGTTATATTAAGACATTATCTTTCTACATTAAAAAAAAACAACAACACAAAGTAGAGAAAGAAGAAATAAGATTAAGTTGTAATGGAACTAGCAAATGTTCAAAAAGATAAACTTAGGATATAAACAAAAACTGAACAGATAAAAACAGTGTCAGATAAAACTGGGCTATCTGATAACTGAACACAAAATCCTGTTATATAAAAAAACTGGGTATTGCTATCATCAGCTACTATGACTTCTGTTCAAAGGAAAAGACCTGTGAGCACTATGGTGCCACAAATAAACTGTCATTAAGCAATGGGGACCTTGTCACACTGGAGTCAACTGACTAACACAATGATTCTTTTGATAAAAGCTCCATGTGCCAAATTATGAAATGTTTTTTCTTTTCTTCTTAGTGTTACATTAAACATAATGCAATGCCATATAAACAATTCAGTTATACAGCTGAAAGTTTATATATTGGGAGAGATTAGATAGGGTACTAATATAGATTTGGTCACAACAAACAACAACAACAAAAGCAAAACTCAAACAAAACAAACATGGGTTGTATTTTAAAAAAATAGTAGGATGAAAATTCATAATTAAATAGAAATAATATTTTTTTTTACCTTTCGAATCATGTTAGTGGTAAGCATGAGTACATCTGTTTCTTCATGAAATGACTGTGCAGCTGCTAGGTATCCTATACGCTGAAAATAATAAATGTACAATTTAAAATAAATGTTCATAACTGTCAACTGCGAATTCAACCATTTAAATGAAATCTTTTAATTACCTTAAAAGTAAACTTGGTTGAGCTCATAACTTCTATAATATTGAAAGCTGCCCAGCTTATGTCATAACCTAACATTTGAAGCTGAAAATAAAGCAATGAAATGAATATATCCAGGAATAAAATTTTGTCATTTTCTTATTTATAATTGTTTCTAAAGTAAAAGAAATACTAGGCCTAACCATAATTTATAATATAACATTTTGATTCATTTATTGCAATGAAATACTAATGAGATAACACGGGTAATGTATATTTAGAGGATTTTGATATTGTATTTTAATATTATTAGGCTTAAATGAAAATAACATGAATGATGGTTAGTTCACTAAAGTTAATTTTTTTCTAGCAATTGGAAAATTAAATTACCAAGTGAAGTAAAAAAAAAACAACTCACATAAGTTAGTTTGTTGACTGCATTGGCTTTTATTGCCAGATTTTCTTGCTTTAGTTCCTGTTTGATTTCATCAATACACTCAGCAATGTATTTACTCTGTAAAAAGGAATGGATTTTTAGTTTAAAAGCAGGTTTAACTTTTTACTGATATAAAGATTTATTATCCGTAAAAGCTATTTTTATAATTTTGTAAAAGCTATTTTTATAATTTATTTGATATTAAGATTACAGAGAACAATTCATATTCTTCGGCTGGTAGATGTTCAGCCCAAAAAGATAGCTCCTTTTGAAGACAGTTGATAGAGATTAAATGAAAACTGCAGCTGTCAAGGGATCCCAAATGGCTAAAGATAGTAGCATTTACCCATTTCAATATGAACAAGGAAGTAGGCTTATTAAAGACTTGTAAGCTAACCCAACTTTACACACACACAAAAATGAATACAAAAGGTGTTCCAGGTCAGCTATTTAAATTAGGTCTACAACCTACAGTACATTGCTTTTATGCTCTTGAGTCTAAAGAGAAACAAAAAAATTATCTAAATTTCTAAATGAATTGGAAACTATGCTTGGTTTAAAAAACTTAAGTAGTAGTGAAATGATAAATTAAAATTTTACTTGTCAGTTGTCTTTGAAATTTTATTTTAATATTTTAATAAATAGTTTTAAACAGGCCTAAACATTTAACTGTGGGTTTGATATTATTATCAATATTCATTTATGTTTTATTTCAAGTTTAGAGCAAGACTGGTGATTATTAATGATTATTTAGTAGATTCTAGATCTAGTTGTTAACTGGTCGATAGTGGTTAGATTTGAGCTCAGTTTTATTAGTTTTATATTTAAGCCTAATGAAAAATAATTTAAAATTTTGTCTTGATCTTGGTTAGATCTCTAGATCTAGCACACTGTTATTAATATTATATTATTGTTATAATTGAGTTCATATTTTTTTTTTAAACAGAAAACTTCAACAGTTCAGTTAGCTTTGAAAATTAAAAATAACACAAATGCTTATGGATTTTTAATAAAGTAATAAAAGATGCTAATCTGATGGTGGTTTCAGGCGGGGGCGTCAACCAGTTGGTACTTATCGAAAACAGGTAAATAACATTACGAGATGATAAAATGTTTTTTTCTAACAACCTCATTTTCCTTGTGATTCCGTATGCCCCTCACAAGATCTTGAAGGTTTTTATCTAGAACTCGTTCTAGAGTTCCTTTAACTTTCTTAAGAGCCATTTGTGCAGTTTATATTTAATTCTGCATCACCTAAGCTTGAAAGTCCCTAATATATTTTGCTATTGACTGCTATCAAGCCGACAAAATGTCTTCCGCTTTCATTGATCATGTGATCTGACGCGTAGACACCAAAAGGGGAATTAATCAAATTAATTGTGTCAAATTGAGCAAACTTAATGGTCTTTACTTGTTTACATCAGTAGACATCATTAAATTCTTTTAAAAATAATATAATTTTAACTACTATTTCTATACCGTTCTAATAATAATGTAAGAGTATGGCATAGATTTAATACGCACTTTAGAGTAAAATGAACTTTTAGGAATAATAAACACTACAACAAAACTGAAAATCAATTGGCTTAATAATTTTAGTAATTGAGTATTATGAGTCGTCTTTGTGCTCAAAACATTATTTGCACATTGAAATTGGATCCAGTATATTCTAATTTAATGAATAAAATCTGTTAGTAAGTAAAATAAAGTTTCCTTTCAAACCTGACAGTCTATAGGGCAAGTGGAGTTCTTGTTTCTGTGACCTCGGCATATATGGAGAGATAGTGTGGTCAGCACTATGTGACTATGCTCAGCTGCCTTTACTTTCCCTAACTTGAGTTGCAAAAAACTCATATCCATCATAGTTGGGTGGACTCACGGATGGTCTACTACCCGGATTTGAACTCGAGATCTTACAGGTTAGCAGTCCAGCTCTCTACCGCTAGACCACTCCGTCTCAAAAATGCAATTTAAATAGTTATGATGACTAACAACATTGTTTCAGGTTAAGTTACCCTTTGATTAGCAATACCCAAAAAGTATAATAGAAGAATCTTACTAGGCTTCTTTTCATAGGAAGGGGTATAATATATATATATATATATATATATATATATATATATATATATATATATATATATATATATATATATATATATATATAACATAAAAGGTTGTGTGTCAGTTCTTCCTACCTTCTTTGTCTTCGTATGCGGGGTGGTGTGAGTCTTGCGTTCCATGCATGGGGAGGGCTCCCTGGTCGCTGACGCTAGCCAGTGGCGTAGCCAGGATCGTCTCAGGGGGGGGGTCCAATTTTTACCCAGGGACAAACTTTCAATTTGCACCCCCCCTCAAACTTTCGATTTGCACCCCACTCTCATACTTTATATATACCGAAGGGTCTATGGGGGGGGGGGGGGGGGGGTTATGAACCCCTTAACCCCCCCCCCCGCCTCCCTGCCTATGCCACTGACGCCAGCAGTGTTTCTTCCAGACTTTTTTCTCCGGGGGGGGGGGGGGGCACTTGAAATTTTCGGGGAAGGGGGTGGGGGGGTTAGACTTTCTTTGGGGGGGGGGGGGCGCGGACAATGTTGGTGGGGGGGGGGGGGGCTTCATGTCTGGAAGAAACTCTGGCCACCAGGGAAAGCATGTTGTTCATCAGCAGTTCAGATTACATTACGGGAGAGGGGTGTAGGGAAATCTGGACTGACATTAGAAAGAGAGTTGCGCCATTACTATTACCATAGCGAAGCACAGATATAAGTTAGTGTATGTATGTATTAATAAATAAATAAATAAATAAATAAATATATATATATATATATATATATATATATATATGTATATATATGTGTGTGATGTGTGTGTAATTTGGATTGTTGCAGTTTTATGCTTGGTAATTTTGAATGAGTACAAAATTCTTTTTTTGTACTTGCATTTTATCACTAGACTTACATGCATGTGTTTTATATTTAAACTGTCGTAGAAGTATAATTAATGCAGTTTGTTTTTTGGTGAAGGGTTATGGAACAAATATCTATTATTTAGTTCTGTCATTTCTAACAGGCCACATAAAATGTAATTTTAAAAAAAAAATACTTAGATAACATAAAATAGCTCTTTATGAAACTGGTTATATTTCAGATTTTTTTTTGGACAATTCAACAATTAAATACCCTTTTTCAAACTTAAAAAGTTACAAGTACGAATAATGCAATTAAGACCAAAGCGGTATTTATTTGTTTATTGTAAACATAATCCCATATGATATTCCTGCAAAGTAAGATGAACAACAGTAAATTAACCACCAAAGGTCAATCAGATGGTTCCAGAAACAAACAGGCATGTGTAGGAAGAAGAGGAAGGAAACATCAAAATAAGACTATGTACACGTAATATAAGAAAAACAATGTTATATTCCTAAACTTAATGAAAGCACCAAATTAAAATTATTATTTCATCTGATTTTCTATCTTCAAGGTAAAATATTTATTTGAAAAGAAAAATGCAGATTTTACATACAGATATTACATACATAACAAGAATTTTATATCCAAATAAATTTAATTGGTTTACAATGAACTAAAATATTAATATAATTAATTAGTTTACTAAATGGACTCAATGACTTTTAAAGTACTTTATGTGACTATTGTTATCAAATAATAAAGAAATATTAAATTCAGGCTCGTGATTTAAATATGGCAATAGTTGTAGTACTTAAAACCCATTTTAAAAATTCAAAATTTTGTTAATATTAAGTAGGATTTAAGCTAGATTTGAAACACATTTAAATATGATGCAAAGTAACAGAAACATGTTTCTTTGATGAATACAAAATAACATACATAATAATGAAACAATGAAAATGCAACAAAATAAGTTAAAACAGAAACATTATCACAGTTAATAGTAATATAAAAAATATTTAAGAGAAACTTCATAAAGATTATTATATATAATTTAAAGAAATGACATGATTTACTTTATCAATAACCATTTTATTTTGGGTGTCATATTATGAATTAATGCACACAATGTATTTATGGGTTGGCGTAAAGAAGCAATTCTTATACCAGAGCAAGGGAAATACATTTCTCTGGTAATTACTTCAGGCGAGCTTTTGATAAACTAGAGAACAGGCCAACTATATCATTTTAAGAAATATGTAATATGTTATATTTTTTTTATTTCTGTATAAACTGATGCAAGAGAACTCATTAGTTCAAAATAAAATTGAAAATTTGAAATTCTCTGGAGAACAAGCAGTAGCTTGTGTATAGTCATTGACAGTAGAAAATAAAAAAATGTACAGCCTGCACATCAACAACCAGAGTCTAAGGCTATAATTTAGTACAAAACTCAACATGTTTCTCTCTCAGAGATAATCTAATTCAAGCTTAGTGGGGCTGGCTACACGTACTAGTTGTGCTTAACTTTTTAGTTTTGCTTGAACACAGGAATCACAGACTTTTTAAAAGTGTGTTTCCTTTTGATGGGGCAAGTGAAGTAGAGTTCACCTGTTTCTGTGACCTCAGCATATCAAGGAATAGTGTGGTCAGCACTATGCCCAGAAGGTATTACATTCCCTAATGTGAGTCAAGTACTTAACAGAGCCAGGTGGATTGAGGGACATTCTACAGACTAGAACCCAGATTCAAACTCCAGACTTTACGGATTAGCAGCTGTATGCTCTACCATTTGACCACATAAAGGGATATTTTTAAATATTATTCTGTAATTAATATTTAGTTAGCTGCACTAAAGTTGACAATTATTCTTGATATAACAATTAATATAAATGACACATTTTAACCACTAATTTCACTGAAGCAAGCCATGAAATTAGTCATAACGATTAATTAAAAGTGCAGTAGGGGTTCAGGAGATGACCAACCACTAATCAAAAATAAAAATCAATTTAAGTTACCTATAAAATTCTGCACTTGTTTCATATTTAACACACACACACATATGTGGGTGTTAAAATATGTGTGTTGGAATATGCATTCATGTTATATTTACAATCAAGGAAATAATATTTACAGTGAATGGTAATGGTACCTCAACCATGTGTGGAATTGTTTCAAGAGATCAAGTATATTTACACTATTCTAATGTGATTATTACATGGCACACAACAACTGAACCTTTTTGTTCATACTTAAATATAAACTTCATTTATACATACATAAAAACATATTCTTACACAGGCCACTTTACTGTAACAAAGTGTGTAGTCTAATAAATTTTAAAAAAGGTTTTTCATTAACCAAAGTTAAATGCTTTTAAATGCATAAGGCAGTTAATTACATGAAGAATAATTTACAAACATGTTATAATAATAACAGAATATGTGGTAGAAATATGTTGTTGACCAGAGAATAAGTGGTAGAAATATGTTGTTGACCCGATGTATTTATAAAAATACAAAACAGGCAAACTATTTTCTATTCAGAATACAGTTTATATGAAACGATGGTAGAGAAATTATTTTTTAAGAAAGTTCAAGAAGGTTTATTTTCACATTTCAACTAATAAAAAAAGATTGTAACCATTGCCAAATTTTTACTGCGCAGAAAACTGTTAAAAGAATGCTTACTAAATTTAAACATGAATGATTGACCTGCATATAAGCTTGACAAAATGCTTTAAAGTGTATTAATTAATATTTGATGTAATATTTGAATAATAAATAACTTTTAAAAAATCATCTCAGAAAAATGTTACATCTATAGGAGGCAACTTTAGCCAAACCATTTTAGTTGTAGCAAGATGGAGAGATTTGATGTACAACACTAATGTCTCATGTTTAGGAGACAGAAAAGATGTTTTATATTTGTAATAAAAAGAATGATATAGACCGATGTCCTTGATCTGACTTGTAAAAGGTATTGAAATACAATATTTATATAATTGGTTTCTAAAAGCACTGGATGTTAAATTAACAAATTATTTTTAATAAAATGACAATTATATCAGTGAAAATAATTTATGTGACCATTCAAGCAATTTTTTTAGTAATAAATAGTTCTTGATAAAACACAACTTTTGTTCAGTGATGCCATTTGGGCAACTTTTTTTATTTTCCATCACCATTATCATTAAAATTATAGCATTACAAATTCTTCAGACTCCTGAGAAAATGTTCGTTTCTTCTGACCATCTTCATCAATATAGTAATGAGTTATTTTGACTCTGCCCCTGTCTTCACCAGTGTGGGAATGTCCTGGAGCCTCATCATGACTGCCCTCAGAGAATATGAACAAAGGATACGAGCCCTTTTGTTTTGGTGGTGCAATAAACTGAAAGTAAATATAAAAGCACTACTTGTTTATTCTAAGACAATTTAAAACTAATATCTGTAAATAAAAAAATATTTTCTCTCTATCTTTATACATATATAAAATCCCATGAAAAAAAAATCTATTGGGTAGTGGGCGCAGAAGATGGGTAGGAAGCACCATCTGCAAGCATGAAAGACTTAAAAGTGCATTGTCCTTAGAGCAGGCTTGCATCGCACTAATAAATAAATCTACAAAGATAAAAAAAAATGAACACCAATATTCACCTCTTTTACTTCATAAACAAACTTCTGAAAATCTTGAGCATTTTTAATGTAGAATCCAACAGTGCAGCTAGGATCCATTTTACTTATGGTGAGTTTTCTTGGAGACATACAATGAAATGACTGCAGAGAAGAAAAACAGGTTAGGTTGAAATAAAACTGCAGATATCTTAATAAGCATATGAAACTATAGCTTTCTTAGAGACATAAAAACAAATGAATACAGAATGACTAATTTAGTATCTAATATATTAATTAGGTTGAAATTATCTCCCCAAGGAGACTTTCTTTTTGAAAGCAAAGTACTAATGTCAATTGTTTATATTAAGACATCTATTAATTTTTTAGTATTAATGAGCTTGAACGAGTTTGTGCTAAGAAAATGAAAATAAATAGATAGTGTTAAGGTAGGATAAACCTCCTAAATGGATTCTGCTAATGTAACCACTGACTTGAAATTTCTACATAAATGGAGACAGTCTTAGAGAGAGATTTATAATTTACAATTAATGTGATAGGCATCATGGAATGAATCTGATATAGCCCACCTCAATCCTGAAGTTTTTATCACTGGTATCTACAGCATCTTGACATAGATGAGGATCTAAGTAGATAAGTTTATCATCTGAGGGGAAAAAAAATCCATTCTTATTTACTAAAATTTAATCAGAACAAAGTTAACTAGCTATTCACTGCTACAGCATAAATTTTATTGGACAATACAAACAAGGTCTGTCTCACCTTGCCAGCCGAGGAAATACAAGGAATGTTTTGGTTTTCCACCTATAATCCCCATGCAGTTATTGTGACTCAACAGACTTTTCACACAAGGAATGTAGATCTCATTCATTGCCTCCCCTCCCAGTCGCATTGGAATAAGGAGTATCAGGGATCTCTGCCACGCACCATCTAGACTCTGGTTCAAAGAGTTTTAAATCAACAGTGTAAGTACAAGCAAAAATATTAACCAAAAATAAATGAAATTCAAAAAGTAAAGCAGAACAGCAACAAAAGCAAATTTAGAATAACTAGTCACTTGAAGATAGTTGTAAAAAGGGTTAATTAAAATTGATGTAACAAAATAGTAAAAAAAAATGTATGTGAGAAATAAAAGAGCTTGAATGATGAAACACTGAATCGTCGTCATCTGAAATAACTGCCACTTGTAAGCGCTCAAAAAAATTACCTTACTTTGGAATTCTTTTTACAGAAAAATAAAATCTGGCCACAAATTTACATCACTTGTGACATCACACAAAAATCCAAGCTGAAATTACTGAAGTATTGTCATAAAGCCATGAAATAACAAATATTTTACCTCAGGACCACAGGCTGTGTCACCTGCCACTGGGTGTTTTTCTGCTGAGTCATTTAAACTCTCTGACCTTGGCCTTGCAGTACAAAGTTTTAACACATCGTCTATGTACACTGTGAAAATACAACAAAAGCTGCTTAAATGAAGAAATTAAAATTTCACAGTTATAAAATATTACATAACTAGCTGATTTCTATTTAAAAGTTAACCTGTTTAGTAATGATCCTGTTTAGTAGCGTTAACTGAAAATTTTGAGTAAAAAATTCTCACACCACAATCTTATGTGTCTTCTTCTAGTATTTCTTGTCAACCACATTTCTAGAGTTACCTTGTGTGTGTTTACTGACACTTTTTTTCTCTGGAGCTATTACAAGTACTATTAATAACCCTTAATACAATTTATAAAACTTATGCTACAGAAAGTACATCTCACCTGTACAATCTTGAGCAACATAAACACAAACTTTGCTTAGGATTGGTATACACTCGCTGGCTCTGGTAAAGGCATCTCTAGAAGACAACAACAAAAGATATAAAGCTGTACCAATTGGGGAGGGGGGGGTGATATATTAATATTTAAATCTGATTTTTATATATCTTAAGGTTTAGAAATATTTGTTGAAATAATTTTGCCATGAAAATCAAACATCAAATATGTTAATATATTAAAAAAAGAATAAAATAACATATTTGTAATTATTGGCCAACCTGAAAATGTATGCCACAGAAGCTGGACCATACCATTCACCTGGGTCTTTGTTATAAGCTCTACCAAAGTTAGCCAAGTGATGCAAACAGAATGGTGTTTTATCAGAAGGTGTGTCAATGGGATCAGAAAACCATCGAATTATTTCTCGATAAAATGTTGACTCTGCTTCTGTTTGTTTGTCATGTAGCCTCCAATCTGTAATAAAAAGTGTTTCAATGGGAATAAAGTTAAAGTATGCTTCTTTTTAATGGAGTATGGATATATGTGGCCCAACGGTAGAGCACTAGACAGCTAACCTGAAAGTCTCAAGTTTGAACCCGGGTTAAAGTTAGTAGAGACTCACTGAGTCCACCCAGCTCTATTGGGTACCTAACTCATGTTAGGGAAAGTAAAGGCGTCTGGGTATAGTGATGTTTCACTTTTTCTTCAAATGTCAAGGTCTATGAAACAAGTTAACTCTACTTCACTTGCCCCAAAGGCCTCCAGGTTAAAAAAGGGAACTGTATTTTTCAATTTATCATGAAGTAACTACCCTTCTATGTGTGTGTATAATAACACTAAATGAACAGATACACACCTCTTCCTAGGTAATGGGTTACAAGACACTGTGCAATCAACATTTGACCACTCCGTAGCATGCAGCCCCAGCCGCAGTCAGTGTTGAATTTTGTACCAGGTATGGGGTAGAATTTGCTCCTATACGTTAACCATATACGGCTGATAAAATCTTTAAGGAAGTCTCCCTCTGGTTCTGTGTTAGGATCTGTTAAAATAGCAAGAAATTTTCAAGTGTACTCTAACTAACCAAGGTCATATTTTAAACTAACTTTCAGAAACTTTTGCAGAAGTCAAGAATATGACTAGCTAAAAAATTTAAACTTAAAAAAAAAAACTAGTCTTACAACAATTATTTATCTAAGTAGATATTTTTGAAGAAAATAAAAATAAATACCATCTTTTCTTCTGTGGTAGCATTTCCCAAGCATGAACAATGGGCTATCATATTTAATACTAGGTTTTGACTTGAATGTCCATCCTGGTTAAATTAAATTGAAATAAAAAATGCAAGATATATTATAGATGTAGAAATAATATACATAAATATAATTAAATATAACTTTTTTTTTTACTTCTGAAGTGCTTATTGGAATAAAATAAACTAGCAATGAAGAAATTAAAAATTTTGAGAAAAATGAAACAAAAACATTTAAATATTCTTGATTTTTCTTTTAATTTCCAGTATTCAAACAATGTTAATACTTATAATAACTATACCACTATTTTGATTTTGTCATACAGTGTCATATCTATTTTAGGCATGAAGCTAAATATGGGTTTAAAATTTTTTTAAATGTGACATACAGGATTTAAGCAATCTTATTAGTAATAAAAATTTTAATATATTCTTATTAAAATATGAGTAATAGTCATTAGGTGTATGGATGGAGCAAAGTTGTGATAAAGCTATTGGGTTATCAATTTTTTCAAAATATTTTGTAGTTTTTGTTGAAATATATAACAATCCATTGTGCTAAACCAAGAAGCAGTATCAGATCACATATCTTTTTTAAGTTAACATTCTAGTTTTTGTTGCATATAATGCCTGATAAGATCAAGAAAGATTATTATATTGTTAGTTGATGTGTAAAAAAACATTTAATTCACTTAATAAGAAAGCAAATAATTCGACTAAAGTAGCAAAATTTTAAAATGTTTAAAAAAAATATACATTACCATATTTAATATTATTCCAAACTGACTTTACTTTCATTTTAACATTTTCTGGTTCAATGCGATGTTCAAATGATTGTTTGTATGACTCTAAATCATTAGAAGATGTTGGTTGCCTTCTTAGCTGTGGAGAAGTAGATAGAAGGGGTTGAGACTTATGTAGTCTGTCCACTGACGTAGCCTTTCCTTGGGGGTACGAGTAATCTACCTTTTGTGACTTGGCGTACTGTGACAAAAGATTAGGAGATATTTCATTCTGTGCATGAGAGAGGCTTACAGGAAGTGATGTTGATTCAGTACGGCCGCCCTGAAACATTTTCTTTTGAAAAGGTGTAGAATTTTTCTGTGGCTCATTGGATTCATACCTTTGTGCTATGGTATTATTTAAAACTTGAGATCTATGATTATTTTCCTCTGATAAGTTCTTTTTTTCTGATCGTACAGCTAGTGCAGGATGTGATGACTTTGTAGAAGTACTTGCGGTATTGGATGTAATTTCTTTGTTGGTATCAGAGTGCTTAAAACTTTCTAGACATGGATACAATTTTTTTGTATTAGATACAGCACAATTGGTTACAATTTGCTTCTTTGCACTTCCTTTACCATTATTATGATGTCGAAATGGGATACAGCTGTCTGTTTCATCGAATCCATTTTGTTTATTCAAAGTTGATTCATATGCAAAATTTACATGATCTTTCGCAAGATCATCAGTAATAGGCAAAGAAGGTGACCATTCAACATCATCATTGACATTATCACATTCATAAGCTGCACTTGCTGTGTGTGTGTACTTTTTATTTTTATTGACACTTGAATTACTAGAATCAGTCTTGGGTGTTATCAATGAATGAAACATAGATTTAAGTTTAGGTCCAAAATCCTTAGGCCGAGGTTCGTGAGAAGATGTTGCCCCACCTTGTTCATGACAAGAGCCTGATTCAGACGATGAGGTGGAAAATTTCTCTGACCAAGAATTTAAAGATTGAACGTCGTCAGATAACCTTTTACCAACAGCATTTTCTCCTGTAATTTTTATGTCACTTTTATGACGAGTTCGAGAATTGTAGGGATTCATTTCAACAGTCACAATGCTTCATTAATAACATTTTCCGGAAAGAAAAACTCGATGTTACTGTTAGCCTAATTTTGTCAACATAAACAACTAATTCAGCCATTTTGAAACATATCATGTGATTGTTTGCAACACAGGTAAAATTCCTAAACAATAATTTTACCGAAACGAAACCATCCAAATTTAAAAATGCGCAATAGTTTTTTTATAATACATTTTTTTAGCACTACAACCGTATAGAATCTAGATCTAGTAAAAAAACGGTTAGTTTAATCTTGAATTGCATAGGCCCTAAAGATATAGATCTAATTAAAAATTACAAGCAAATTTATTGTCTAAAATCTAAAACTAAATATTCTAGATTAAATAATAAATTATGACTAGTCGGAACTTTATAATTAAAAAAAAATGCTAAATCTACTTTAAAAAAACAACAAAAAACTTGATTTTTTAAAGTGAATAAAATTGCATGTAATTAAATATATAAGATAATGTTAATTTTAATCTTAATAATAATAATAATAATATTCAAATTAATAAAATTACACGCTTAGTGGTAGACTAAAGATCAGATGTAATAAAAATGCGGCTATATCAACCATATGACATGAATCAACTACGTTATCATTTTATATCTATTATTCTTTATCCATTTTCGTTAATATAGATGATGTCCGAGTATTATTCGCTCCAAATATTGACTGAGTTCTATTTTCATTTAGCGTAGTTCAAATTTTTTTTTTTTAGTTATTGTTTTTAAATATCTTGATAAACACTAAACGAGAGGATGGCGCAGCTGTCGTTGCCATTGGTGACGTCAAGCGTGACAAGTTCCTGTTAGGATTAAACGTTGTTTATAATTTTACACTCTGTCTTGTATTATCTTTATCGAGGACTCAGGCGAGGACAATTTGTAATCAAGATCTAGACTAGATCTATGTATTAGAATCGATACATTTTTACAGAGGTAAGAAAAAACGGCTTTTATATTACATCATCACTTTAAACTAAATAAAAACAGTTAGGCCTACTTTAACTTTTTGTTTTTTTTACTTTACTTTTTAATAACTTTCTTAAACAAATCTTAAACTCTTAAACTATAGTTTGTGTTGTTTAGAAATGATTAGAAACCAGTTGAGTAGTAGTTGTTACAGTTGTAGTAGGTAGGAGGTACTAGTAGTAGTAAGTAGTAAGTAGTAGTTGGCTTGGTAATCTATCGTTTTGGGTACGTAAAATCGCCCGCGATTTGTAATGTGAAAAACAGGTGACTCCTTAAATTTTAATAATTATTTCACATTTTGAGGAGGATTTATGTATTAAAAAATTTAAAAATGTTTCCTTGATTCATTTATGTACCTGTTTTTAAACAATTGAATTAAAACTTTTCCGTAATAAATGAAGACTAGCGATGTTTCCAACAGATGCAACCATGCTCATTTACTATAGCAGCCATCTTGTCTAAGTTTTATTTTTATAAGCTTTTAGCGCCAGATTCAGGGGGAAGCCACTCTATTTTACAAATGGCTGCTGTTTATATAGCAAATCTTGCTCTCAGACACTGCTGTTTAATGTTAATTTCTGGCCTATATCGATATATTTAGCCTTTGATTTAGGTTTATTATTCATTTATCTATAATATTTGACACAAAAGTATGACAATATACTTCTATTAAAGCCTTGACAATGAGGTAACGTTTTCATACATAAATAGCCGCGGGCAATTTTACGTACCCAAAGCGATAGATTACTGTTGGCTTCCCTAGAGAATCAGTTATCCTCCAGACTTTTTTCTCGGAGGGGGCGGGGGGGGGGGGGGGAACAACAACAACAACAATCTTTTAGCCCCCCCCCCCCCAAAGAAATGCCTAATAGAAACTCTGTAGAGAATTGATACAACTTATGTAGAATCAGCCTATAATATTCAATATTAATTAGCAATTTTTAATGCAACACTGGCTTCAATTTTGTTAGCTCTTATTTAGCTGAGGTTTTTGTACTTTACAATGGTGGTATGAATACACAATTGCCTCTTGCCATGCAGTCTTGCTATTTATTTTTAAAATTCTATAATTTAAAAAAAAAGAGGTAACTTATGATTTTAAAAAAAAATAGTGTTATTACCAATACCATTATTTATTTTAAAAATCAGTTTTTGAGGTAGTCTGCCTAATGATGTCTTGGGAATGGGTTTTGTTCCTAAATGTTATATGGAATGAAAGGTGGTGGCCTATGGAAGTATTATGTTATTTGAAGGGGTGGGTAAAAATGTCTTTTTTATGTAATGCGCACAATTAGTGGTGTCGCTAGGTCAGGTGTCACCCGGTGCGGCACTCAGTCGTGTCACCCCTCCCCCACAATTACAAGAAACAATAGTATATATATATATATATATATATATATATATATATATATATAATATATATATATATATATATATTCTGTTAAAAACACAGTTGGATCTAGTATGTTTTCTCTATCGTTATCACGTTTACATCATGGTTTCACCCCCCACCCCTCTTGTAATAATTGTCGATTAGTACTTAAAAGTCTATTTAACTTTAATTAGTCATTAATGGTACTGGCAAAAAGAGCATTGTCCGCAATACATTTTGCAATTTTGTGCATTGGTGTCACCCCCCTAAATGGTGTCATTCAGTGCGGTCCGCACCTCCTGCCCCGCCCTCGCTACGCCACTGCGTACAATCCCTAAAATAAAGTCTAGATGGAAATACAGTCAAAGCTTAGTCTATAGCCTGATATATTATTAAAGGGTATTAAAATACAGGGAGAGTTCATGGTTACTGAAAATTCTCGAGTTCAAACTCAGGCTTGTGAGCTTAGGTTTAGGACAACAACTATTTAGGGGTGAAAACTCCTAAATTAAACAGCTGTGGAATGGTAAAAAGTTTTAGATAATCCTCTTAAACTTAAACACTAATTAAAGCAGCTTCCAGCCATTCAGCCATTTGTGTATATATGACTAATCATTAAAACCATCGGAACTAAGGATCTGGCATTACATAGGTAGATGAAGTAGACTTTGTTCCATTATACACTACTTATAAAGAAATTTTATGGTTAACGCTACATCCAGCCACCTCTAATTTTCCCTCCTGTTGTTAGATACCCTCAAATCAGGGTGGACTCATGGACATTCTATGGACTTGTGTCCTGAAAATTTAGGTTTGCAATTTTATTTTACCCCTTAGACAGGGCTGGGCATCATACCTAGATACTGTTAGTCTACATATAACATATAAAGATATAAATAAATGTATTTCTAATAATTACATATAAACATAAAAAGATATAAATAAATTTATTTCTAATAATTACAAAGCATAGTTTTTTTTCTGTTCTTATATGTGGGCACATAAAAATTTTTCTATACTAAAAGACCAAAGTATGCAAGATATCAAAAAATAGTTCAATTGGCATGATTACTTTAGTTCCATGGCCCTACATATCCTTGAAGTTCTCTATTATCCCGGAGTCTGGAACTCTGTGGCTCTTCTATCTACATTACCATGCCTAAAGTTCCTTGTCTTCTATCTGATTCCTTGTTTTCTTTATCTTTACGTGATTTTTACGTGCTTCCTTTTCTTCCATAAGTGTTATGTTTCATATATTTTCCTTGTCTTAAGTTCTGCATACATTACTATGTCATCCCCGTGTCTTAATTTCTATGTTATCATTGCATCTGAAATGTGTTGTCGGTATCATAAAAAAATAAAAAAGCAGGAATCTCTTTGAGAATCCATTCTGGCGCCATTTATAGACGAGATCAAATTCCAAAAAGGGGGGGGGGGGAGAGGGGGTGGTGGTGACATGGTGAGTGTGAAAAGTGGAAGTTCAGAAAGTGACAACATTTTAATTTTTCCAAAATTTTAATGTTTGTTTCACGTTTTTATAGTTTTAAAAAAAATGTAATTAAAATAATATTTTTTTTTCTCAATGCTAACAGAGTGCAGTAAGTATTTTAGAAGGAAACGTGCAGTATTAAAGTTTAATTTATTTTTTATTTTAGATGGTGGGGGGAAAGGTTGGCATGCTGAGGTGTGACAGCATTTTAGGGTAGGGGATCTGTCATGTGTGACATTAGGAGGGGATGGGGGGGTAAAAATAATTTAAAAAATTTACAGTGGCATCTAAAATGGGGGCTGCAATCCACATTGGGTGAAATCGTTTACTGGCGTTGTTCAGATATAACTCTAGCAGGATACCAATTGGTCATTGTTCATGGCCCATTGCTGGTGGTAAATTTTACTGAAACATTTTTGTCTGCTAAGGAACGGCTTGGTCGGATGGTAGATCTCTCAGATGCTAACCCAAAAGTTTGAGTTTGGAACCCCGACTCGACTCTGTAGAACGTTCCTAATTTCACCCACCTTTGATGGATACCTGACATTAGAGAAACAAAGGTGGCTGGAGACTGCTGACCACACTTTCCTTCCAATGCCGAGGTCATTGAAACAGATTAACTCTACTTCATCTACCCCATGTGTCTTGGGCACTAACGGGAAATGATGATGAAAGTAAATGTAGAGAATCAATAAGCAGGGAAAACGCTCCACACTCCTTAATGTAACAGGCGATGTGATATAAGTATGAAATTAAAAGTGTTCAAACGAGTGGAATAGTTAGCTTTTGGTGTTGACTCTTTACTTGGTCTTTGACTTTTTACTTGACCTTTGACTTTACCTGACCTTTGACTCTTTACTTTGTGTTTGACTCTTTACTTGGTCTTTGACTTTTTACTTGACCTTTGACTTTACCTGACCTTTGACTCTTTACTTTGTGTTTGACTCTTTACTTGGTCTTTGACATTTTTCTTGTTCTTTGACTTTTTACTCGATCTTTGACTCTTTACTTGGTCTCTACTCTATACTTGTCCTTTGACTGTACAGGAAACCCATTTACCGGCAGCTGATACAATCACATAGTGTCACTAGTATCTAAACACATTTACTGCCGTAGTCATGGTAACCGTAATCCCGCTATTCTCGCCACCAATCGATGGATTTCAGTAAAAAAAAAAGTCAATTTTTTTTTCTCATTTAAATTCAGACTTTGTAGAGATGACGGAAAAATGAAATATTGTTCTGGCCAAGCGAAAACAACATTTAATTATTTAGATTAGACAGTGGGTAATGAAATTATAGGGATGGTTCTCTTGGCGTAGGCCGCGTATTTCTGTTTTGCGGTCGATGAAAAATATAATGAACCGCACTCACATAATAGCATAGGTGGTATACCCCGTACGATGCTGTGATCTTTGAATTAACATCAGGATTCTGGCTGAGGGGGTTGGGGGGGGGGGGGTGAAGATAGAGAGAGTCAAACTATTGTGTGCCCAAAGTTTCGAGAGCTTGTGTATTTTTTCATTAACTTTCCCCCTGATCTGACCTTGTTCTAAGTGACCTTGACACATGACCCAGCATCGTTCCTGTTGACCTAGACATCTGACCCGCCGGCATTATTGCCAGTGACCTTGTTGCCAGTTAAACTCTACTCCTCACCAGACCTTGCTGTCATTGACAACGACACATGTGCCGGCATTGTTTGCCGTGACATTAACACCTGACCCAGCCTAGCTGCTAGTGACCTTGACACCTGACCCGGCCTTGTTACCAGTGACCTTGACATCGCGCCACTATTACGCGTTTTGTCCCGTCACGGTTGTGTTTCGGGTATTAGCGAAACCCCAGACAGGAAGTAATAGGCCTCGTATCGTCGTACATCACGCGTTAATCATCCTGCCTTTTGCTAATGCGGGTATCAAACTCATTAACCCCTCCCCGTGATCGATAGCTCGTATTGATCCCAAATCACCATAAATCAGTGCCCCACTTATGCCCCTGCCCGTGTCAAGGATCAGACACAGCATATAAGTGATGGCGACCATTTGGCGACTAATGATTCTCGTATAGAAACAAACTCACAAACGTGATGGCGACCATTTGGCGA